TGATTCAGCAGACCCTCAAGTTCCCACGGAATTTTCCAGCCATGTCTGAGAAGCAGCCGTGGGGCAGGGGCAGGCAAGGAGCGAGCTGTTCTGGGCCTGGCTGCTCAGGGCCTGGCCTCTGCTGCTCTGGTTCATTCCACAACCAGCTGCTCCGGGTCTGGTCACTGCCGCTCCCGACCTAGTTGCTCTGGACTTGGCTGCTGCTGCTCTGGGCCTGGCCGCTCCCAGCCTGGCAGCCGCTGCTCCAGGCCTGGCCACACCCGACCCGGCTGCTCCCCAGGGCCTGGCCGCTCCCAGCCTGGCAGCCGCTGCTCCGGGCCTGGCCGCACCCGACCCGCCTGCTCCACCGGGCCTGGCCGCTCCCAGCCTGGCAGCCGCTGCTCCAGGCCTGGCCGCACCCGACCCGCCTGCTCCCCCGGGCCTGACCACTCCCAGCCTGGCAGCCGCTGCTCCGGGCCTGGCCAAACCAGCCCCGGCTGCTCCCCCGGGCCTGGCCGCTCCCAGCCTGGCAGCCGCTGCTCCAGGCCTGGCCGCACCCGACCCGCCTGCTCCCCTGGGCCTGGCCGCTCCCAGCCTGGCAGCCGCTGCTCCGGGCCTGGCCGCACCCGACCCGGCTGCTCTGGGCCTGGCTGCCCCGGGCCCCGCCGCTCCTAGCCTGGCCATTCCCGACCTGGATGCTCTGGTCTTGGCTACTGCTGTTCTGGGTCTGGCTGCTCCCACCCCGGCTGCTCTGGGCTCGGCTTCTCTGGGCCCGGCCACTCCGGGTCTGGGTGTTCCTGGACTGGCTACCCTGGGCTTGGCCGCCTCCGCCTCATGCCTGGCTGCCACTGCCCCAGGTCTGGCTACTCCAGTGCTGGCTGTTGATGCTCTGGTTCTGGCTGCTGTTGTTCTGGGGCCTGGCCGTTGCTGCTCCGGGCCTGGCTGCCACTGCCTTGTGCCTGGCCACTCTAGGCCTGGCCGCCGCTGTTCCAACATTCTGTCCTTTTTTTTTCTTTTTTCTTTTTAAAATGCATTTATGTTGCAATGTTGGCTGGTGAGTTGAGTTCTGACTTAGTCTTTGATTTTTCAAGATCTTCTTTGTATTCTTTCTTAAATAATTTTACTATTTTTTGCTCTCATTTGATTTCTTCACATTGAGAACTTCTTTGGTTTCTTCCTCCTTGTCCTGGGAGCTCAGCAGGTTGGCCTGTGGCACCCCTTTGTTCTCCGCGGGCTCCTGCGCTGCTTCAGCCTGTTGCTGGGACAGCGCCGCCCAGGAAGCAGCCCCAGGCCTTGGCTCCATTGCCCGAGCTCAGTGGTCAAAGGCTCAGGGGCACCCACGCCCCCAGGGGCCCCGTGGCCCGCCTCCTTGCTGGTGCCCGGTTGGCTGGAGTCCGGCAGGGGCTTCCGCTCCCCTCCGCGTTCCCCCAGCCTAGAGCTTTTTTTTTTCTCCTTCCCGCTAGAGAAGTCCAGCATCAGAGTCAACAGACTGTCCTCTGCGCGCAGTTTGGGCGACTCCGGGGGCCCGGCCTTTCGCTGCTCTCCCCAGACTCCACCTCACAGCCCCGTCTCCCTCTGCCTGAGCCTGGGTCCCCAGGGATTAGCCCAGAACTGGGGTTCGGAGCAGTCTGGACTGAGGCTCACCGCCGCCGGAGGCCTTGTTTCTTCCGGCTAGGGTAACCCAGCATCAGAGTCAACATTCAGTCCTCTGCGCGCATTGCGCGCGACTCCGGGGCCCTGCTTTTCGCCGTTTTTCCATCTCACGGCCCCGTCTCCTCCCACCGGAGCCTGGGTCCCCAGGGTCTGGCCCATAACTGGGGCTCAGCGCTGCCGGTTTGGGGGGGCTCAGCGCTGCCGGTTCGGGGGTCCAGCCCAGGCTGGGGGTTTTATTTCCTTCCTGCTAGGGAAGGAAAGGCAGCTCCCCGCCCTCTCCTCCTCTCCAGCTGCGACCTCTCCGTGACCGCGTGTGGGCGGGCGCGCAGCATGTCTCTGTACCTTAGGCTTTTTTTCAGCTCCTTTGATTTTCCTTCTGGTTTTCTCTTTCCTTCTTGTTGTAGAATTTTCAGTCAGTCGACTACCTGTAGCTCTGGGCAATGTCCACTCTACATTTTAGTTGTATTCCATTGAAATTGTTGTGTGCTGCTGCGGTTAGATGTCTACCCGAGCAGCCATCTTGGATCCTCTTTTTTTTTTTTTTTTTTTTTTATCTTCTAAGGCAGTGTTTCTCAAACTTTTGACATATGTGTATCCCTTCTATAATTTCGTATGCTAAGTACCCCTCGTACTCATGAGAATGTAGAATTAGGCGCAGCTAAGCACAATGCAGTGCATATCCCCACCAAACTCCAACGCAATGTGTACCCCACCAAACTCTTCCTGTACTTCTTGAGGTACACGTACCACACTTTGGGAAACACTGTTCTAAGGGATCAATGCCTGAAAACCATTGTTTTATATATTTTGTCTGGCTTTTTAGTTATTTAATGTGAAAAAATAAATCTGCTCCTTGTTATTCCATCATGGCTGGCAGTGGAATTAATTATCTAAGAGGAAAGAGATACCTAACCACAAAAGGAAGTGAGAGGTGGGTGGGAAAGGTTGCCAAATCCTCTCCCAAATATTAAGAAATGAAAAATATTAGCAGTTATTTTAAGTTTAACTTCATGCTCTGAATGTTTGGGTCATGGCTTATTTAACAATATTATATGATAACTAGTGGCCTGGTGCTCAGATTCATGCACATTGAAAGGAAATTAATTAGAAGAAAGACTCATGTGGTAGTTACATTACTGCAAAAAAAAAAAGTCAAAATAGTATATATAATATAGTATTATAAAATAAAAACATACATATGATTGGTGCCAGCAAGAGCTTTATATGCACGAGTCAACATTTATTTTTAAATTGCCAGTGCGCATCATATGTAACGATCGGTCATTCGGACAGATGTACAATCGATCATTTAGCCTTTTATATATATAAGTGTAATATTTAGAAATAATGATTTATTTTTTATTAGCCCCAGAGTGATGATTCCTATTGTATTTTGTAGGTAACAGTATAATATTGGACTCATTATTTTATTTTATTGAAACTTTTTGTTTAATGTTTTTACTAATGTGTTAATATTTATAACTCTTTATTCTTTCCTGGTAAGTTTCTTAATTTTCCCCTGGTATTCTCAAACCCCAAAGATGAACTAATGACATGAAAAGCCCTATTATTAAGAATTTATAGCCCAAAGAAGATGGATAAATACTGATTAGATTTTAGACTTTTTATTTGGAAGTCACTCTATATATCCAGTCAACTCTATAATTTATAAAATTTGTAATGGAGATAGATAAAATTTAGTGACCTTACAGTATTCTGATCGTGCTTTTCTCATAAATTAATTTGATGTTTTGGAGAAATTAAGTGGATTGATATTGCAGAACACTTTGCCTTCTGTTTATTTTAATGAAATTGAGGAAACTTTTGAAGAATATTGGGAAAATTATAGTTAATTGGGGAAACTACCTCAGTCTTTTTTTTTTTTTTTTTTTAATATATTTTATTGATTTTTTACAGAGAGGAAGAGAGAGGTATAGAGTTAGAAACATCAATGAGAGAGAAACATCGATCAGCTACCACTGTACATCCTCTTGACCAGAATCGAACCTGGGACCTTTCAGTCCGCAGGCCGTTGCTCTATCCACTGAGCCAAACTGGTTTCAGCAACTACCTCAGTCTTAAACTGGTGGTCTCATGTAGAGAGAGGTATCAGACTTTATTGGTCATATTAAAGAAACACTATAAAGATGTGATGCAGAGAGCCCAATAAAATTTTATGAATATATGTATGTGCAGTACTGTGTAGACAAACACACTCACACATGACATATACTACCTCATTAAATCCTTACAGTAACCCCATAAGTTAGGGATGCCATTCTGCTCTTTTATTTTTTTAAAAATATATTTTATTGATTTTTTTTACAGAGAGGAAGGGAGAGAGAGAGTTAGAAACATCAATGAGAGAGAAACATCCATCAGCTGCCTCCTGCACACCCCTTACTGGGGATCTCCCCTTAACCGAGGTACATGCCCTTGGCTGGAATCAAACCCGGGACCTTTTAGTCCGCAGGCCGACACTCTATTCACTGAGCCAAACCGGTTTCGGCCATTCCGCTCTTATTGTTATCCTCAGGTATGACTTCCGAGTCCTTGCTCTTATCCATAAGATATACATGTGTATTAAAGTCCTGGTTTCATCAACTGTTGGCAGTGTGAACTAAGTCAGGTTTGCTTCTGTAGCCTTAGATGCAAATGAAGATAATGGTACCTACCTCACTCACAGTTGTTGAAAGGATCATATGATAATGTGGGTCTCAACTTGGGACGATTTTGCCGCCTACAGGACATAATTTTACACTGTGTAGTGATTTTGGTTATCAAAATTTAGAGTGGTGGTGAGGTGTTCTGGCAGAAATCCTGCTAAACATTAGGACAGCACCCCTCAACAAATAATTGTCTGGCCCAAATTGTCAATGGTGCTAAGATTGAGAAACTTTGACATAAAGTGACTATCCTGGTATATTGCTAGGATAGCAGACAATTTTATTTATTAGTATATTATCAGAAGGGGCTGCTGCTAGTTTGAAAATGAAGGTATCCATTTGAATTTTTTTTTTCTTTTCAGTTTCTATTTCAGTATAAGTGATCTTTTTTTTTTTTTTAGAGGATAAAAATATTTAATTGAATAACTTGAAAATTTCCCTTTCGTTTATTTGTAAAAAGTAAAATGAGAGGGAGAAAGGGGAAAAAGCAGTAAAAGTAATGGAGAAACAAACGTAACATGGATTCATGAATGTCAATTTTAATAAAATATATAGTACTAGAGACATTTTCAATGTTTAAATTAACTTTATGAAAGTAATCTAAGTATATTTGAAAATATACTCTTTTGTGTGTTTCTTATTTTATCTTTTATTTTAATATCTTAGCATTTTAAAATTAACTTTTGGTCATTTTTTTCATAGGTATTACCTCACTTGGAAAGCCCCGGGAAACAGGAGAAAATTTATAACAAAATGCCAGGTATTCGAAATCATTGTTTACATTTGGACTCAGTTGGTGAAATAACGAAAGAAGAGTTAATACAAAAATCTCATGTAAGAAAATTACTTTTTTTTCTTCCTTAAAAAATCATATTCACTTTCTCCTGAATGTATTTTATGTAAATTACTATAATACTCTTGTTTAGGAGTCCAGATTTTTTACATAAGATATTCTTAGTGAATTGTATGTGTTTGTCTATGTTAAGATAATGACAATGTTGTCCATGTGATTTTTGTTTCATAGAGTACTTGTCAGGATTGTAAAGTCAGAGGACCAAATCTTTGGGCGTGCCTAGAGGTATATATATATATGTTTCTTCTCAAATGTTTGATATTATAAAATTTTATATCTGGATAAGGATATAAATACTAGAAGGTATTTTTGACACTTAAAACATTTCATAAATGAACATATTTTTTAATCTAGTCTCCCTCCCTGCCTCGTGCGAGGGTATGTTTTTTATTGACTTCAGAGGGAGAGGAAGAGAAATGAATGAATTATACATACATACATTGATTGGTTGCCTCCCATATGACTAGGGATGGAACCTGCAACTCTTTGACGCATAGGACAATGCTCCAACCAATTAAGGGCAAATGAAATTATTGATGACAAAAATTAAACTTCACACTTTGGGTTTTAATTTATAGTTTTTTCATAGAGTTTTAGTAAATCACTAAAATATTTTATGCTTGTTTTTTACAAGTGGTGACAACTTTTAGCTTAGAAATATTCTGGTTTTATTCTTTTGTGCCTGTTATCTTTAGTTAAAATAACTATGAAAAGTCAGTTGATCATTAAGTTAAAAAACATGATAAAAATGATCAAAAGTTAATTGTAAAAGTAATTGCGATGCTGTTATTGTAATGTGACACTTGTTCTAAAATACTTTATTTTCCTTTTTTGTATAATTATTTATAGAATAGATGTTCATATGTTGGCTGTGGTGAATCACAAGTAGATCACAGCACCATACATTCTCAGGTATGTATATAGAAAGTTTTAATAAAAGGCATTTTTAAAGAAAGCCTAAAGGAGAGGGAAAGCAAATACAACATTATTAATTGAAGTTATAATTTGAACATTTGCTCCCATTCTAAACTGTAAGTTTCTGGAGAATGAACCGTCTTTTTTCACATTGATATCTCTACTGCATCAGCTGTTACTTAAGTAGTGTTGCTCAAATCAGTTAATTAACCCTGAATACCCCGAGACCCTCAGGTATTGTACTTAATTAATTTACTTTTCTTCTGTGCATCTAGAGTGTGTTGTGTACCATTCTTGGTAGAAATGAGAAAATAGTTGCTCAAATCATTTTCCTTAGGGCATAATTCTCTTACAGAAACGCAGTTGAGAAAGGCTGAGTTTTATATATATTTACTATTACTTGAGCTGTGTTGTGCTTTAACTCATGTCATGTTTATTCTTTTGCCATTCTGATCTCCTACAATAGATACTGTGTTATTGTCAATTTTTTTTTTGTATTATGTTTACATGCTAACTGCAAAGCAATCTTATACTGTTGTGTTTTATTTTTATAATGATTGGCACTGAATAATGACAGTAGAATAACTTCTAGAGTACACTTAGATATTATTATTCACAATACTTCAGCAGTTTATCGAAAAAATGTTTTCTGGTGTTCACCTTTAACTCTTCTCTTTGGAGTATGTTGTTACTGATCAAAGGCCAACGATTTATCTTCTGTACTTTTCTGAAATGTTTTCAGCTATACCTAATTCTGGTTCCTCTTCTTTGTCCCTGTGAAAATATATAGGATACAAAGCATTATTTAACTGTGAACCTTACTACTCTTCGAGTATGGTGTTATGCTTGCAGCAAAGAAGTATTTTTGGATAGGAAATTAGGAACTCAGCCTTCATTGTCTCACATAAGACCACTTCACCAAACACAAGAAAACAATGTCCAGGTAATTATCTAAATCCATTTAATTATAATATAAAGTATTTTCAGAAAATAATTTCAGAATTTGTCATGTAGTTGAAATTTAAAAGAATCCCACCAAACCTGTACTGTGAAAAATATCTGCAATGTGCCTCTTTTTCTCAGTTCAAATACTGAGGCTGGCCTTTGTCCTTTTGTAGAATGACTGGTGAGGATGAGACTGAAGCCCATCTCTCTGAATATGTGTTTTTAAAACTTAAAATAACCAAAAACTTGGTTTAAATAGTGAAATCTTTTTCTAGCAGGTCTGATTCTAGGAGAGGTGGTAGGCCTTCTTCGATAGGGAATAACAAATACTAATTCAGTTCCCTTTTTCTCATTTTCTTCCCTTCTTCACCCCAATTTGTATTACTCTGAACATTTACAATAACTGAAAACCAGATAGAATATATTAAAGCTTAGCATCAGTCTTTGGTTACAAAATATGTATAGGCTTACAAAGATTGACCACTTAATTTTGAGAATTTTACAGGCATAAAAATGCAGGAAAATGGAAAATTAAAATAGTTGGCTTCTAACTACTCTACTCATCCTTTGCTCTATATGGTTTAATTAACACATTAGTGAGTTTTTTCCACATATGTGTTATTATCCTTTATAATAAAGCAGTGATATGTAAATTGACCCTCACACAAGATGGCTGCCCCCATGTGGTCAAAGATGGCCAGCAGGGGAGGGTAGTTGTGGATGATCAGGCCAGCAGAGGAAGGTAGTTAGGGGCGACTAGGCCTGCAGGGGAAGGTAGTTGGGGGGAAGCAGGCCGGCAGGGATGGGCAGTTAGGGGTGACTGGGCCTTCAGGAGAGGGCATTAGAGGTATTTGGGCCTGCAGGGATTAGTTGGGGGCGACGGGGCCAGCAGGAGAGGGCTGTTGGTGGTTACTGGGCCAGCGTTGAAAGGCAGTTGGGGGTGATCAGGTCAGCAAGGAGGGGCAGTTGGGGGCAATCAGGTTGGCGGGGGAGCAATTAGGCATTGGTCAGGCTTGCAGGGGAGTGGTTAGGGAGGGATTAGGCTGGCAGGCAGAAGTGGTTAGGGGCGATCATGCTGGCAGGCAGGCGAGCGGTTGGGAGCCAGCAGTCCCGGATTGTAAGAGGGATTGGGAGCCAGCAGTCCCAATCACAGGGATTGGGCTTAAACTGGCAGTCCGACATCCCCCGAGGGGTCCCACATTGGAGAGGGTTCAGGCGGGCTGAGGGCCCCCCTCGTCCCCCGCACAAGTTTTGTGCACTGGGCCTCTAATATTTCTATATTTGCCCTTGATACCAACTTTCTTAGATTTTTCTGTTTGTATCTTTTATTCACATTCTGATAGTATACATGTATGATAATAAATTTGCTTGCCTTCACACATTATATAAATTAAGATGACTAGGTTTTGGATAAGGTATACTTACTGCATTTCTAGATTCATAGTTTTGAATGGCTCTCATTAATAAGTCACCACTATTACTGTTTCTCTCATTGATTCCTACTTATCATTCAGAAATGTGATTTTCTCTTTTCTGGAGTGTCCTGGTAGTTTGAGAATAAGTTTTCTTGAACAATCTTATGTTTTTAACAAAAGTTTGATAACTAAAAGTTTAATCACATAAGTAATTGCTAACAATTTTTACAAGGGCAATACTCAAAAGGTGCCTGAAATAGTAAGTGCAGATAGTTTACAAAGAAATACAAATAAACACATTGAGATAATGATCATCATTGACTAAAGAAAAGTAAGTTAAAACAGCCATCAGTTGTCATTTCTGCCTGAAGAGGTTACATACTTTTAGTAAATGTTGAATCTGATTGAATAAATGTAATGATACTTTTCTGATAACTTATAAATAATTCTCTGATGAGTTATATTTAGTGTACATAAAATGCATTAATTTAATTTCATGCAACTTCCTGATGATTCATTATTGAAAAAATTATTAGAGGGGGAAAAAAGATATTTGTACAAATTTTTTTAGAGGTATAAATGTAAAGGCTGTTTGAATAGAATATTAGTTATAGGATAACTGTTTTGGAAACCATTCAAATATCATTAAGATTTTTCAAATAGAATTTTTTTTCTAGGAGGTAAAATGTTGAATGGTTTATTTAAAGACTCTACATTTCTCTGTATTTAAATACAACAAAATGAGAACATGAGGCCTACTCAAATGTTCAGTACCTACAGATGCCAGAAAAATAAAGTGGGTCAGTGTAAGGAAATATGCATGGATCATAGGGATGGAATAAAGCTATACATTGGAGAACCAGAGCACATGCTGAGTGCATGCTACTATTCAGTTTCCTTCTACAAATGAATATACTTTGATCTTCTGCTATTATAAGAGAATTTGCTAAATCTGATTTTTATGTGGGCTATCCCAATTTTTAAAATATTAGCTCAATTTTTTTGTTTGTTTGTTTTTTTGTTAAATAGTATGGGCTAGCATTTGACATAACAGGTCACCAATTGCAACCTCTGAGTTAAGCCAATTCTTGGGAATTAGTATTAGAACATTTTGTTTCTTTTTAAAACAAATGAATTATTTCATATGCAGAAAAGGATAAATAAGTATAATAAGTATCAGGAAAGATTGTAGAAGTCTAGAGATAAGTTAGCATGTTATGATGGGAAAACTTCTTGTAAAAAACATGAAAAATCTGAAAAGACAATGTAGGATACGTACACTTAGGTCTTTTTAAAATATATATATATTTTATTGATTTTTTTTTTTTTTTCCAGAGAGAAAGGGAGAGATATAGAGAGTTAGAAATATCAATGAGAGCCCTGACTGGTTTGGCTCATTGGATAGAACGTCTGCCTGTAGTCTGATGGGTCCCAGGTTCGATTCCAGTCAGGAATGTACATTGGTTATGGGCACATCCCCAGTGGGAGTTGTGCAGGAGGCAGCTGATCGATCTTTCTCTCTCATTGATGTTTCTACCTCTCTATCCCCCTCCCTTCCTCTCTGTAAAAAATCAATAAAATGTACTTAAAAAAAGAAAAAAAAGAAAGAAAGAAAGAAACATTAATGAGAGAGAAACATTGATCAACTGCCTCCTGTAAACCCCTAGCTGGGATGTGCCCACAACCAAGGTACATGCCCTTGACCGGAATTGAACCCTGGGACCCTTCAGACTGCAGGCTTATGCTCTATCCACTGCGCCAAACCGGTTAGGGCTGCACTTAGGTCTTTTAAGTTGTAATGTGGCCTTACTGAATTGGAGTGAATTGTGTTCAAATTCAGAAAAGTCACAAGTGATTTTGTTATTCATGTACATATGTTAATAAAGGTAGAGTGACATGCTGTTAATAGGTAGAGGCCCTTATTACTTTAAAAATATTAATGTAAGTTTTATTCTAATTGATAAAAAAGTGAATTCTTAAAGGTAACATTTCCTAATATTTAGACTGTAGTGGTATATGAGATAAAATTTTAAAAATTTTAACCTAAGGATTTAAGTCCACTGTCTGTTCTGTTATCAAGGATTTTAAAATACCCAGTAACACGACATTAAAAACTCCTATGGTTGCTGTATTTGATGACCTGGACATAGAAGTGGAAGAAGAAGATGAACTTAAGGCAAGAGGTAAAATAATTCTTCTGTGTACCCCTTCTTTATATGGTATTGCCCATCTATTATATTTAAAAGCCTAAGCAATGGGTTGACCAGTTAACCATTTCACCAGTAGCTAGGACGCAGACTGACCACCAGGGGGCAGATGCTTCACCTGATAGGTTAGCTTACTGCTGGGATCTGGCCAATCAGGACAGGGCGAGATGGGCTAGACACACCCTGGAGTCTTCCTCGGCCCCGAACATGCACCGGGTGGAGGGTGGGGGGCAGTCCCTGGTTTCGAGAGGGGGCAGGCCAGGCCAAGAGACCCCACAGGTGCACAATCCGTGAAAATTTCAGAATTTCCCATTACACAGTTGTAAAAGGAACTTTGAAGATGATGATAACAACAAATAAAGGAATGCAATACATCATATAAACAAATTGAAAGACAAAAAATGCATGATCATATCAATAGTGCAGGAAAAGCTTTCAGGAAAATCCAACACTCTTTTAAAATTATTTTTATTGATTTTAGAAAGAGAGGAAGGGAGAGATAGAAACATTGATGAGAGAAACGTTGATCAGTTGCCTCCTGCAAGCCACCTACTGGAGATCAAGCCTGTAACCTGGGCATGGGCCCTGACCGGGAATTGAACTGTGACCTACATCATGGGTTCATGCTCAAACACTGAAGTATACAAGCTGGGCCCAATATCCAGTTTTGACAGAAACTCTCAGCAAAGTGGGAATAGAGGAATCATTCCTCAACATAATAAAGCTCTCTATGATAAACCTACAGCAACATCAGTTGGGCAAACACTAAAAACATTTCCCTTAAGAACAGGAACAAGATAGGGATGTCGACTCTTATTCAACATAGTAATGGAAGTCTTAGCTATAGCAATTAGAAAAAATAAAAGACATCCAAATTGAAAAGGGGGAAGTAAAATAATTATCATTTTCTTAATTTTTTTGTATTTTATTATTTAAATTCTTTATTTCTTAAAGTATTACATGTTTCCTCCCCCCCCCTCCCCCCATTGACTTCTTTAAAAAAAAAAATATTTTATTGATATTTTACAGAGGAGGAAGGGGGAGAGATGGAGAGCCAGAAACATCGATGCGAGAGAAACATTGACCAGCAGCCTCTTGCACACCCCCTACTGGGGATGTGCCCGTAACCAGTGTACATGCCTTTGACCGGAATCGAACCTGGGACCCTTCAGTCCGCAGACCGACGCTCTACCACTGAGCCAAACCGGTTTCGGCCCCCCATTGACTTCTTCCTGGCCATTCACACTCTCCAGCACATGCCCTCACTACCCTACTGTCTGCATCCATGAGTTATGCTTATATGCATGCATACAAGCCCTTTGGTTGATTCCCCCCTCCCCCTCCTCTGACCCCCCACTCTGAGGTTGGGTGGACTGTTTGATGCTTTTCTGTCTCTGAATCTACTTTTGTTCATCATTTAAGTTGTTCATTATATTCCACAAGTGAGTGAGATCATGTGATACTTATCTTTCTCCAACTGGCTTATTTTGCGTAGCATAATGCTCTCTAGGTCCATTCATGCTGTGGCGAGTGGTTAGAGTTCTTTCTTTTTTACGGTAGCATAGTATTCCATTGTGTAGATGTACCATAGTTGTTGGTTTGTTTTTTTAATATATTTATTTTTTTTACAGAGAGGAAGGGAGATGGATAGAGTTAGAAACATCGATGAGAGAATCATTGATCAGCTGCCTCTTGCACACCCCCTACTGGGGATGTACCCGCAACCAAGGTACATGCCCTTGACTGGAATCGAACCTGGGACCCTTGGGTCCACAGGCCGAGGCTCTATCCACTGAGCCAAACCGGTTAAGGCTGTACCATAGTTTTTTAAATTCATTTTATCTGCTGTTGGGATTTAGGCTGTTTCCAAATCTTAGCTATTGTAAATTGTGCTGCTGTGAACATAGGGGCACATATATCCTTTCGGATTGGTGTTTCTGATTTCTTGGGATATATTCCTAGAAATGGGATTAATGGATCAAATGGAAATTTCATTTTTAAAAAATATATTTTTTATTGAATTTTTACAGAAAGGAAGGAAGAGGGATAGAGAGTTAGAAACATCGATGTGAGAGAAACATTGACCAGCTGTCTCCTGCACACCTCCTACTGGGGATGTGCCTACAACCAAGGTATGTGCCTTTGACCAGAATCGAACCTGGGATCTGACAGTCCGCAGGCCAACACTCTATCCACTGAGCCAAACCGGTTAGGGCGGAAATTCCATTTTTAATTTTTTGAAGAAACGCCACAATGGCTGTACCAGTCTGCATTCCTACCAGCAGTGCACAAGGATTCTCTTTTCTCCACATCCTCGCCAGTACTTGTCATTTGTTGATTTGTTGATGATAGCCATTCTGACAGGTGTAAGATGGTACCTCGTTGACATTTTGATTTGCATCTCTCAGATATGCAACATATTTGCCAATGATACATCTAACATATTTGCCAATGATACATCTGATAAGGGATTAATTTCCAAAATATATAAAGTACTCATACAACTCAAGAAAAAATGACAATCAATCTATTTTAAGAAAAGCCCGGCCGGGGTGTCTCTGTGGTTAAGTGTTGACCTATGAACCCGGGGGTCAAGGCTCGATTCCAGGTCAGGGCACATGCCTGGGTAGTGGGCTCAATCCAGAAGGGGATGTTCAGGAGGCAGCCAATCAATGATTCTCATCATTGATATTCCTATCTCTCCCTCTCTGAAATCAATAAAAATAAATTTAAAAAGATATGGGCAGAAGATCTAAATAAACATTCTTCAAAGAGGGCATATAAAAAGCCAAAAGACATGAAAAAATTCTCAATGTGAGTAATAATCAGAGAGATACAAATTAAAATGACAATGAGGTACCACCTCATACCTGCCAGAAAGCTATCATCTACAAACAACAGATCCTGGTGAGGATGTGGAGAAAAAGGAACCCTAGCACACTGTTGGTAGGAATGCAGACTGGTACAGCCACTATTAAAGACTGTGAAATTTCCTCAAAAACGAAAAATGAAACTGCCATTTGACCTAATTATCCTACTTCCAAGAATATATCCTGAGAAGTCTGAAATACCAATCAAAAAGAATATGCATCCCTATGTTCAGAGCAGCGTTATTTACAATAGTGAAGGTCTGTAAACAGTCCAAGTATTCATCAGTAAGTGAATGGTTAAAAAAACTATGGTACATATACACAATGGAATACTATCCTGTAATAAAAAAAATTATTACATTTTGAGACAGCATGTAGGGACCTGGAGAGTATTATGGTAATTGAAATAAGCCAGTCAGAGAAAGAGAAGTATTGTATGATCTTGCTTACATGTGGAATCTAATGGACAAAATAGAACTAGAGATATTGAAGCATTCAATGGGCTTGTATTTCAGAGGGAAGGAGAAGAGGGTAGGGTGGGAAGAGATTAATCAAAGGATATATCTTACCTAATAAAAGAGTATTATGCAAATTAACTATTATTCCCCTATATCACAAGTCACGCCCACCAGCCAATCAGAATGAGTATGCAAATTAATTCCAACCAAGATGGCTGTAGCCACAGAGAGGTGAGAGGCTTGGCAATAGAGGAAGCCAAAGAGATGCAAATCAAAATGATAATGAGGTACTATCTCACACCTGTCAGAATGACTATCATCAAATCAGCAAAGGACAAGTGCTGGCGAAGATGAGAAGAAAAAGGAACCCTCATGCACTGCTGGTGGGAATGCAGACTGGTGCAACCACTCTGGAGAACAGTATGGAGTTCCCTCAAAAAACTGAAAATGGAACTCCCATTTGACCCAGTAATCCCACTCCTAGGAATATATCCTAAGAAACTAGAAACACCAATCAAAAAAGATAAATGCACCCCTATGTTCATAGCAGCACAATCTAAATAGCTAGAATCTGGAAACAGCCTAGGTGCCTGTCAGCAGATGATTGTATCAAAAAACTGTGGTACATCTACACAATGGAATACTATGCTGCCATAAAAAAGAAGGAATTCTTATCATTTGCAGCGTCCTGGATGGAACTGGAGAACATTATGCTGAGTGAAATAAGCCAGTCAATGAAAGAAAAACCACCACATGATTTCACTCATTTATGGATAATAAGGAACATTATAAACTAATGAACAAAAGGATAGATACAGAGACAGTAAAAGAAACAGACTGTCAAATTACTGCGGGGAGGGAAGGGAGATATGGGGGAGATAAGAGATCAACCGAAGGACTTGTATGCATACATATAAGCAAAACCAATGGACGAAAAACTCTGGGGAGGGAGGGCATGTATGGGAGTGGGGGTGAGGTGGGGATTGGTAAGGTATGTACACATATAATACCTTAATTTAAAAATATATATAAAAGGAAAATAGAGGAAGCCAAGCTTTCCACATACCCTGGCGAGCCTAGGCCTCCACTCAAGGATACAAAGTTTCAATTATAGAAGGTAAACAAATCCATACAGAAATGGCAGCAGCCATGGAGCAAGGAGAAGGCTTGGCTCTGCTCCAGGCTACAAAGTTTCAATTGTAGAAGGAAAATAAATTCCAGATACCAGGGCCTGTGCTTGGGTCGCCAGGGGATGTGGCTGGCCTGCAAACCACCACAGTCCCCTTGCCCAGGCTGCCCCACACCCCAAGGGAACCCCACCCTGATCTAGGACACCCTTCAGGGCAAACCAGCTGGCCCCCATCCATGCACCAGGCCTCTTTCCTATCTAATAAAAGAGTAATATGCAGATTGACCATCACTCCAACATATAAGATGGTTGCCCCCATGTGGATACAAGATGGCCACCACAAGATGGCCAGCAGGGGAGGGCAGTTGGGAGGGACCAGGCCTGCAAGGGAGGGCAGTTGGAGGTCATCAACCTTACAGGGTAGGGCAATTAGGGGTGACCAGGCTGGCAGAGGAGGGAAGTTGGGGAGCAAACAGGCTGGCAGGGAAGCAGTTAGACATCAACCAGGCTGGCATGGGAGTGGTTAGGGGGTGATCAGGCTGGCAGGCAGAAGTGGTAATCAGGAAGGCAGCCAGGCGAGCAGTTGGGAGCCAGCAGTCCTGGATTGTGAGAGGGTTGTCCGACTGCCCGTTTAGACCCGATGCTGGTGGGTCCCAGATTGGAGAGGGTGTAGGGTGGGATGAGGGATAGCCCCCTCCTTGCCCCCGTGCATGCATTTCGTGGACTGGGCCTCTAGTATACATATAGTATGCATAACTCCCATGGACACAGCCAGTAGGGTGGTGAAGGCCTGGGGTAAGGGTGGGAGCAGTGTGTAGGGGGTGAGTGGGGGGGGGGGAGGGGGAGCATCTATAATATCTTCAATAATAAAGATAAAATTTTTAAATAAAAATAAAAGAATTTTGAAATTTGGCCTAGTAAAATTGTATTTGCAAAAAAAAAAAAAAAAGCAAACAGACAACTTTGAGTGATGCTTGATTTCTCTTTATTTTTAAAAAAATATATTTTATTGATTTTTTATAGATAGGAAGGGAGAGAGATAGAGAGCTAGAAACATCGATGAGAGAGAAACATCGACCAGCTGCCTCTTGCACACCCTCTATCGGGGATGTGCCCGCAACCAAGGTACATGCCCCTGACCCGAATTGAACCCGGGTCATTTAGTCCGCAGACCGACGCTCTACCACTGAGCCAAACCGGTTTCGGCTCTTTGGTATCACTTTAACAAAGCCTATAGATTTTAGTATAAACTATATATAATGAAGCAAAGAATTTTGTTTTGTGCTGAAACCGGTTTGGTTCAGTGGATAGAGCATCCGTCTGTGGACTGAAGGGTCCCAGGTTCGATTCCAGGTAAGGACATATACCTTGGTTGCGGGCACATCCCAGGTGGGGGCTGTATAGGAGGCAGCTGATTGATGTTCCTCTCTCATCATTTCTAACTCTCTATCCCTCTCTCTCCTCTCTATAAAAAACTCAATAAAATATATATTTTTTAAAAATTTTGTTTTGTAGCTGAAGCCGGTTTGGCTCAGTGGTAGAGCTCAGCCTGCGGACTGAAAGGTCCCAGGTTCGATTCCTGTCAAGTGCATGTACATTGGTTGCGGGCACATCCCCAGTAGGGGGTGTGCAAGAGGCAGCTGGTCGATGTTTCTCTCTCATCGATGTTTCTAGCTTGCTCTCCCTTCCTCTCTGTAAAAAATCAATAAAATATATATATTTTTAAAAATTTGTTTTGTAGTTGATATAAGTGAATTTTAATCCTTTACATAAGTGTATATTTAAATAACTATCTGAAAATTAACACTTTGGTATAAGTCTGACTTCTCTGAGATGTTCAGGCTGTTATTTTGTATTTCTATAACGTATTTTGTATTTTCTTAACGTAGTTTGGGATCCATAATAACTATTATACATAGTTACATATTCAGTAAACACATAAAATTATTGAGTCATTGCATCATTGATTGATACATAGCTTATACTTTGTCTAACTAGGTCTTACCGGTTTGAAAAATATTGGCAATACTTGTTATATGAATGCAGCTTTGCAGGCTCTTTCTAATTGGTAAGTAGAGAAATTAATTTTGTTTGGTTTATATAACTTTTTAAAGTTACTCTGAGCAGAAAACTATGCTTCTATAGTATAAAAAAGGGGAGGGGGTTAAAAATAGATACACATTAATAGTAATATGGGAAAGAGTTAACAATTCTATTGAATTCCCCTAGCCAATAGAATTCTATAAATCCCTACCTGTACTTCTCTCCTTGTTCCCCTCAACACATAGTTTCTTTTTCTCCTATTTTCTGAAATGCCCCATTTAGAAAGTTATATGAATGAACTAAAACAAAATATGTTATTATTTCTGAAAAGTTATTTTCTTTTTCTTGTTGGTAACTGTCAAGATAGAGTAAGCAAGAAACTGGGTTGGGTGGAATGTTCTGTTTGTGTCTAGAACATACAGAACATTATGTATAGCCATCTGGTGTTATGTGTAGCTTAAGTCCAATTTTTCCTTATTGATTTTTCTGACTGGATGACCTGTCTGTTGTTTAAAAATGGGAGTATTGAAGTCCTCTACTATTATTCTACTGCTGTCTATTTCTCTCTTTAGATCTGTTACTATTTGCTCTATTTATTTAGGTGCTCCTAAATATATTGGGTACATATATATTTACAAATGATACCCTCTTGATGAATTGACACCTATATCATTACAGAATGACCTTCTTTATCTCTTGTTAAAGTTTTTGAGATAGTCTATTTTTGTCTAATATAAGTATAATTACCCATGTTTTCTCTTGGTTCCACTTATATGGAATATCTTTTTATGGTAGCTCAGGATTTGGTCCTTTGCTCAGACAGTTCCCTGAAGTGAAGAAATTTTTGGAGGTGCCCTCAGGTTAATCAAGTTCATTCATTGCCTTATAAATTGGTAACCTGAGCCATTGGATGCAGTACTGCTTATGGGGCTGTAGAAGTTTAGAGGAAACTGATTAATTTAAAAGTTAAATTTTTAAAAATATATTTTATTGATTTTTTACAGAGAGGAAGGAAGAGAGATAGAAAGTCGGAAACATTGATGAGAGAGAATCATTGACCAGCTGCCTCCTGCACACCCCCTATTGGGAACATACCACAACCAAGGCACGTGCCCTTGACCGGAATCAAACCTGGGACCTTTCATTCCGCAGGCTGATGCTCTATCCACTGAGCCAAACCGATTTAGGCTAAAAGTTAAATTTTGAGCATGTTAAATTTGGGATACCCAAGACAGCCGTATGTTTGGGTATTTGTTGTAACTCTGGAGTTTAGATGAGCTATTTCATTTTTGTAAATTTGACTATCATTGCATGTTTGTGAAAATTTAAGATTACCCAGGGAAAGTATTTGTATTATAGGAAGAGAGCAAAAGTTATAGTATCAAGTCCTGAGGAATCCTGATATTTAGATATCTAGTAAGAGCAGAAAGAACAATAAAGAGGAAAAAGAATTGTCAGAGAGAGGTAAAGAAGAAAGATACATTACATTGGTCAAGAGAAGGGTTGCTCAAGAATGAGGGGTAAGTCACCTGTGACATGCTACTGACAGGAAAGTAAAAGGTATTAACTGGATCTGACAGCTTTAAAGACTCTGATATGGTGGAATCAAATCTGGTTTGAGCAAGAATATGAAGAAATGAATGTGAAGTTATAAACAAGAACAAAGAAATTATAGATAGAGGGCTCTGTGTACTATCAGTCAATTGCCAAGAAAGTAATCAGTGTTAAGCTTGATTACCCTCTAACATATATTTTGTTTTCTTTAAATCAGCCCACCTTTGACACAGTTTTTTCTTGATTGTGGAGGACTAGTTCGAACAGATAAGAAACCAGCCATTTGTAAAAGTTATCTCAAATTGATGACGGAACTGTGGCATAAAAGCAGGTATGTACTTAATATATTTCTTTTCTTTATTATGTTTTTATTTTTTAAAATTATTATTTTTAAAATATATTTTTATTGATTTCAGAGAGGAAGGTGAGGGAGAGAGACATAGAAACATCAATGATGGAGAGAATCATTGACTGGCTGCCTCCTGCACGCTCCCTACTGGGGATCGAACCTGCAACTAGGGCATGTGCCCTAGACCAGGACCCTTCAGTTCTCAGGTCGAAGCTCTATCCACTTAGCCATACCAACTAGGGCTCTTTATTGTTTTTAAATGAATATTCTCCCAATATGCCAAGGTTGCAGATTCGATTCTGGTCAGGGCACATGCAAGAATCAACCAGTGATGGCATTTTATACACCAATAATGAACTTTCAGAAAGAGAAACTGAAAAAACAATCCCATTTACCATTGCAACAATAAAAAAAATTAAGATACTTAGTAATAAACTTGGCCAAGGAGGAAAAAGACCTGTACTCAAAAAACTGTAGGATATTGAAAAATGGAATTGAGGAAGATACAAGTGGAAACATATACCATGTACATGGCTTAGAAGAATTAACATCATTAAAATGTCCCTACTATCCAGAGCAATCTATAGATTCAGTGCAATGCTATTAAAGGACCAATGGCATATTTCACAGGTCTAAAGCAATATCCCAAAAATTTATATGGAACCAAAAAAATACCATGAATAATGTCAGCAATCTTGAGAAAGAGGAACAAAGTTGGAAGGTTATCATACGAGATATCAAACTATACTACAAAGCTATTGTAAGTTACTGGCACAAGAACAGGCATATAGACCAATGGAATAGAACAGAGACCCCAGAAATTAACTCATACCAATATGGTCAAGTAATATTTGACAAAGGAGGCAAGAGCATACAATGGAATAAAGATAGTCTCTTCAATAAATGGCATTGGAAAAATTGGCCAGATTGAAAAAAAAATGAAACAAGACCACCAACTTAGACCATACACAAGAATAATCTCAAAATGGATAAAAGACTTATATGTAAGCCTTAAATGGTATAGTACAGACTTTTAAGGATTTAAATCTCATATATTGGTTTACTTTTCATTTGTTTTCATGGGTATTTAATGTCTGGTTTTAAATTTTTAGTTAGATAGTTTACTAGGTACACTTAACTTAATTACCCCAGAAATTTTAAGTAAATACATTTTTATTTTAAATAATTCAGTATTTTTAAAACATTATATAGTAGAGTATTATAATTTCATTAGGGAAGAGAAAAATAAGATATAGCTTAAATATCAGTAATAAGCTGACAAACCTATGGAACATAATATTGGGCAATTTTGAATGATTTTTTGAAACATAAACACTTTTTAATTTAATACCTTTAATTCTTGATTGCTAAATTATAAATAAACAGAATATCACAAATCTCTCATTTTTTAATGTTTTGTTCCTTAGACCAGGTTCTGTTGTGCCTACTAATCTGTTTCAAGGAATTAAAACTGTAAATCCAACTTTTCGGGGGTATTCTCAGCAGGTAAGTCTTCATTGCTTTTTCATAATATTCATCTTTAATAAATTTGCAACATGCCATTATATATTATGCTATTATGTGGTCATATGTATTTCTTTCTATATAATTTATTTGTTCATTTATTTTTTTATTACTTTTTCTCATGCTTTATTTAACAAGAATGATCTTTTATCTTATTTTCTGCTTATATTTTTCTATTCTTATCTTAATTTTCTATATTCCTAGAAATTTTGAGTTTTAGGGTGGGTAAACCTATATATATACACACACACATATATAAAAGACTAAGTTACTGACCAGCCATTGGTGTGACCAACCGCCGACCAGCCGGTACATATGATGCACACTAGCAATTTAAAAATAAACGTTGATTCACACATGCGCAATACATATAAAGATCTCGCTGGCACCAATCTAGACAGTGTAAGAATATTCCCACCTGAACTCGTTTTCGGATATGGTCAGTTATATGTTACTTTCTCTTGAGTTCAAAGAACGTATGACATTAAAGTTAAAGCTGTAAATACTTCATCACAAGAGGAATTAGTTCAGCATGCTGAAAGTGTTTTTACTCTTAATGTGGTATACAGTGAGACATTGGAATAAATTTAATCACTTTATCAGTCATTGTTGTGTTTTGTTTTTTTTTTAATATATATTTTATTGATTTTGTACAGAGAGGAAGGGAGAGAGTCAGAAACATCGATGAGAGAGTCATCGATCAGCTGCCTCTTGCACACCCCCTACTGGGGATATGCCCGCAACCAAGGCACATGCCCTTGACCGGAATCGAACCCGGGACCCTTCAGTCCCCAAGCCGACGCTCTATCCATTGAGCCAAACCAGTCTCGGCACATTGTTGTTGTTTTTTAAAATATATTTTATTGATTTTGTATAGAGAGGAAGGGAGAGAGACAAAGAGTTAAAAACATCAATGAAAGAAAGTCATCGATCAGCTGCCTCTTGGACACTCCCTCCTGGGGATATGCTCGCCACCAAGGTACATGTCTTTGACCGGGGACCTTTCAGTCCCCAAGACGACGCTCTATCCCTTGAGCCAAACCGGTTTCGGCATCAGTCATTGTTTTTATCAATGTTGTTTTTATATCATGACTGTTGTTTTTATATCATGTCTTTTTTGTTGTATCATGTTGTTATTGTTCATTAATCAATTTATATATTATTTTCATATACGTTTTACTAATTTTCTTTCATCTTTGACACTTATAAAGAAAGGGTGAATAGCAATATTAAAATATTTCTTCTAATTAATTTCCTTTCAGTGTGCATGAATCTGTGCACTGGGCCACTAGTATGTCAATAATTTTAGTGCTTTTAACTTTGAAAAGTTCTACATCAGAGATAAATTTTCATCTATGCTTTCTATATTGTATGCTTTCATTTTTCAAAAATGTAATTTTTCAATACATATTATTTATTTCATATTACAGTATGATCCAAATTTTGTTTTCACAAGTAGCTAACAAGGTACCAAACTGTAACTTTAAGACTTATAAAATACAATTTAAAAAATGTCTTTATTGTTTTTTGTGCTCACATCTTTATATTATCCCTATATTAATAAAAAAGTAATAAGCTAATTAGACTGAGAGACCTTCTGGACGTCTTTCCGGACAAAGCCGGGGGCTTGGCCAGCCTGAAAACCACTCCAGGCCCCTTGCCCAGGTCGGCTTGCCTCCCAAGGGAACCCCCCACCCTGAACCAGGACCCCCTTCAGAGCAGACCAGCCGGCCCCTACCAGTGCACCAGGCCTCTATACTAATAAAAGGGTAATATGCTAGTTAGCCTGGACGTCCTTCGGGACAAAGCCATGGTGGCAGGGCCAAGGCAGAGGCAGTTAGGAGTGATCAGGCTGGCAGGGGAGAGCAGTTAGGGGAATGAGGCTGGGGGGTGTCTGACTGCTGGTTTAGGATGACATCCTATGAGGAGTCCCAGATTGGAGAGGGTGCAGGCCAGACTAAGGGACACCCCCTCCCTTTCACGAATTTCATGTACCGGGCCTCTAGTTAATATGTAAAATAGAATCTGTTTCTGGGCTTCCTAATCTGTTTCATTTACCCATATATTTTTGTATTAGTACTAATGCAAGTTTCAATTGTTGTAGTTTATATAATATCTTTTAGTATTAACACCTGGCCCTAACATTTTTCTTTTTCAAAACAATATCTACTCCGTGTTAATTTTTGTGTATGCAAATTCCTGGATTACCAGAGACTGTGATTTCGTAGATATGAGTTGGGGTTTACAAATTTGTATTTTTAATAAGCATTTCAGGTTGATTAAGGGTTTCTCTGTAAGATATAGTACAAAATTGGATAAAGCTTTAATTTTAAGTTGAAGTATTTGAATTTAGGACATCTCTCTGAATAGTCACATGAAGCAAATCCAGATGTGTTTTTTTTTAATTTTTTATTGATATTTTACAGTGAGGAGGAAGGGAGAGAGATAGAGAGCTAGAAATGTCGATGAGAGAGAAACATTGACCAGCTGCCTCTTGCACACCCCCTACGGGGGATGTGCCCGCAACCAATGTACATGCCCTTGACCGGAATCAAACCTGGGACCTTTCAGTCTGCAGACCGACGCTCTACTACTGAGCCAAACCGGTTTCGGCCAAATCCAGGTTTTCTTTATACCTTACTCCTCCACTTTTTAAAAATAGCAGCACTACTAAAAGCTGACCTCCCTCCAGATCATCTTCAGTTTTATAATTACTTTTGTTTCATTTACCTAACGTTTTAGGACTTAGTGCTTCTCATCCTTCCAGTGCCTTATGTTCTACAAAGTTGTATTTCTTTAGTATAATGCTACACATTTAGTTGATAACGACATTCTGTATATTTTTCCTTAAGTTTCTGCATGCATACATATGAAGCAGTGATATCTATTTTGCTTTTATATTAGGATGCTCAAGAATTCCTTCGATGTTTAATGGATCTGCTTCATGAAGAACTGAAAGAACAGGTCATGGAAGTAGAAGAAGATCCTCAAACAATGACTGAGGAGACCATGGAAGAAGACAAGAGCCAGTCAGATGTAGATTTTCAGTCCTGTGAATCTTGTAGCGGCAGTGATAGAGCTGAAAATGATAATGGCTCTAGAAGCTTTTCTGAAGATAATAATGAAACAACAATGTTAATTCAGGATGATGAGAACAATTCAGAAATGTCAAAAGATTGGCAAAAAGAGAAGATGTGTAATAAGATTAATAAAGTATATTCTGAAGGAGACTTAGATAAAGATAAAGATTCTGTGTCTGAAACAGACGATTTGAACAACCAGGAAACAGTTAAAGTGCAAATACATGGCAGAGCTTCAGGTGACAATTTTAATATTTTGAAAATAGTAGTGGTTCATTGGTATTCTGAGGGAAAAATTAGCATGGCATGTGACTAAAATCAAAACACTTATAATTTACATGTTAATGTTCACGGTTTATATTTAGCATAATAAGAATGAAATAGAATGATTAATAATTTTAGCTTAATATTTTGTGTGTAGTATATGACATCGTTCAACCATACTAATTTGCAGGAAAGGGGAATTAGATAGTTAGGTTTGGACTTTCTGAGTAGTAGACTAGCAGTATTTGCATGTATGTGAGTGTTAAGTTTATGTCATTTTAAGCAGATTCTGTTAAGATTCTGGGAAAAAGCAAAGTAATCCAGTTGTATTTTTGTAAACATATATACTATTAGATTTAGGTTGCTGTTACTGGAATTGCATCAGCTCTGAAACATTTTGAATATGTGTTTGTATTAGTGTAGGACTTTAACTATAATGAGCCTTATAAGATATATTCTAATACTAATCAGTGTTCCTTTGAGAAAGCCAAGGGTCAGATGAAAAATGTTGAGCTAGATCTCTTTGTAATTTACATTTATTTCTTCAGTAAGTTATCTTGGCTTAATGTGGTATTTAGTTCTCCAAAGTAGATAAAATTAAACCATCAGAGGTTCAAATTTTCTGATCTTAAAATAAGTGGCAGACAAGTAACAAAAATAATTTATTCTGTAATTACTGAAGGGTGAGAACCACTAAACAATTTATTTAGGTATTTGAAAGAACCCAAAATTCCTTCTTAAGTGGCTCACCTCTATATAGTGCATACAAGCCTTCTAGTCAGGAAAACTTATTAGACTCCTTAATTAGAAGTTGTATAGTTAATACATTGAAAGACTTAGCTTTGATGCTGTCCAGCCCTTGTAAAAAGTCTGTTTAAAGAACATACTTATTCTTTTTTTAAATTGAGTTTTTAAAAAATATATATATATTATTGATTTTTTTACAGAGAGGAAGGGAGAGTGATAGAGAGTTAGAAACATCAATGAGAGGGAAACATTGATCAGCTGCCTCCTGCACACACCCTACTGGGGATGTGCCCATAACCAATGTACATGCCCTTGACCAGAATCGAACCTGGACCCTTCAGTCTGCAGGCCAATGCTCTAAGCCAAACAGGATAGGACCATACTCATTCTTTATTGCTGTTCTTATATATAAAACTATTATAATTGATGACCTAGAATAGGGATCTGAGCTTTTACGTTTTTTTAAAGACTCAATTAAAAAATGTGACAAAGACCATATGTGGCACACAAAACCTAAAGTATTTACTTTCTGACTTTTTACAAGAAACATTTGCCAATTCTTGACCTAGATCATAGTAACTTTATTCCCTTCAGAAAGGAGTGAGTCTTTTCTCTTCTTTCCCTCCAAATTTATATAGTCTGCTTTTAGTGATGCTGGAGATAATGAGAAATGCTTATGTGAAAGTAATTTATTTTGCATTATTCAGAAAAATCTCTGAAGTTGTTCTTTCAGGGTCTCTTAGGAACAATTCTCTTCTTCAATACTTATTGAGCACAGTCCCTTACTCTGGAATGGATGTTGAGACTGCAACAGCAACTATTGACATAGCGCTCATGGAGATTTATTTATTTATAATTTAATTTATAATTTAAAAGGTTCTTTCCTGACAAAAGGGTTAATTTTATCACAGTAAGAATAAAATAATTTATTTATTTATTTATTTTTTTAAATATACTTTATTGATTTTGTACAGAGAGGAAGGGAGAGAGATAGAGAGTTAGAAACATCGATGAGAGAGTCATCGATCAGCTGCCTCTTGCACACCCCCTACTGGGGATATGCTCGCAACCAAGGTACATGCCCTTGACCGGAATCGAACCCGGGACCTTTCAGTCCCCAAGCCGACGCTCTGTCCATTGAGCCAGACCGGTTTCGGCAAGAATAAAATAATTTATAATGATTTTATGCCCAAATTTCTTCTTAGATTTTGATTACTTTGTTAGTTTGGGGAGATAATCTTTTCCCCCCACACTGTTTTAAAAGCTGTTTTGTTTTGTTTTTAAATTGTCCTAAATATCTTTTTTAAAATAATAAATTAGGACATATATGATTCTCTTTGGCTTTATATTTTCCTCTGCTCACTTCCTGAACATCTACAATAGAATGTGATAAAAGCATTAATTGTATTGCTAGGGGAGAAAATCACTGTTACTTTCCTTAGCACTTTATCAAGTATTTCACTCTACATTTATTGTGAATTGTGTTTAAAATCTCAAATGAAGAAACCTTTAACATAGTTAACATTATTTGACAGGTAAAATAATTTTACTATTTAAGGTAATAACAAATTTTTAATATTACAGAATATATTACCGATGTCCATTTGAATGACCTGTCTACACCACAGATCCTCCCATCGAATGAAGGTGTTAATTCACGTTTATCAGCAAGTCCTCCAAAATCAGGCAGTTTGTGGCCAGGACTGGCATCCACACAGAAAAGAGGTAGATGTTTCAGTTACTCAGGCGACTTTGTTTTTACCATTTAAAGTATTAATTATGAAATATTATTCAGTCCTTTAAAATTGACAGCATAATTTTACACACCCATGATTTAAATTTTTGTCTATGTGTGGCACAAATTTACATAAAATAGAATTCACTCTTGGTATAGAGTCCTCTGAGTTTTAATACATGAATAGATTCTTGTTACCACCAGCCACAAACAGAATATAGAACAGTTCCAACATCCCAAAGAATTCCCTTTTGCTACTACTTGTAATCAGACTCTCCCTCCCCTTATCCCTTTCTAATCACTAGTTCTGTTGCTCTGTTCTCTATTTTTATTGTTTTGCCTTTTCCAGAATATCATATAAATGGAATCATATAGTATGTAGTCTTTTGAAATAGATTTCTTTCACTCAGTGCAATGCATTTGAGATAATAGTTATGTTGCATGTCTAAATAGTTCCTTTTTATTACTTAAACATTGTATGACTATACTACTTTTTATTCATTCACTCATTGAAGGACATTTGAATTGCTTCCTGCTTTTGGCAATTATGACTAATTCTATAAACATTTGTGTATAGGTTTCTCTATAAACATAAGTTTTCATTTGTCCAGGGTAAAACACCTAGAAGTGGGATTATAAGATTTTTTGTTAGTTTTATGTTTAAGGTCATATGAAATGGTTTTCAAGAGCGGCTGTATCATTTGCGTTCCTCCCAGCTATGAATGAGAGTTCAAGTATTATAAAATGTAAAACTAGTAAACTCTTAGGGAAAAAACTAGGAAAACACTGTAATGATGTATCAGACAAAGACATCCAAAGCATGATCCATGAAGGAAAAAAACAAAACAACAAAAAACTTTCTTAACAGAAGACACTATTAAGAGAATGAAAAAAAAAAAAAAAGATAAAGTTGAGAAACAATATTTGTAAATCACATAACTGACAAAGCACTTGTATTTAAAATATATAAAGAACTCTCAGAGCTTAATTATAGAATCATTTCTTCAAATATAGCTTTACTTGGAGTCAAAAACAAGGAAAAGCAAAACTGTTCTGATTGAAGTCAAGATGGGGAGACTGAATCCCTCTTGTTTCACTTGGTTTCTCTCCTTTTTTATAAAAGCGATGCTCTTCAATAGTATTTTGACAAATTTCTTCAACATAGTAAATTTTACTGTTAAAGATTCAGAGAAAAATGCTTAAAGAAAAGAGTTACTTTGGTTTTAAAAATATATTTCAACCCTTATTTCTCAGTCCTAGCTCAATCTGCATCATCCCCAAAGAGAAAAAAACAGCACAAGAAATACCGAAGTGTTATTTCAGACGTTTTTGATGGAACAATCATTAGTTCAGTGCAGTGTCTCACTTGTGACAGGGTAAGTATGAAGGAATTATAATACACAATATTTTTTTTTTTTTGTCAAATGCTAGTTTTAAAAAAAACTGGCAAATGGTATGAGAAGTTGACTGTAACTCCTCATCAGTAGCAAGGAGCTGCTGCTGATTACACATGTGATTCTTGTGTTTAAATCAGTGTAATTGATTCTAGATGTAGAATTGTTTTTTGGGAATAATAGCAACATAGTTGTTAAAGAATGAGTCTTGACCCATCGTTGGTCAGGCATTCATTCACAGGAAGAATTAACTCGGTTCTTCATCTCTGGTCACATATAAATAGGCAATTTGTTGCTTAGCAGCAAGAACTGGTAGCACCCACATTCTCATAAGGCCGATGAAATTAACATGCTGGAAAACTGTTGCTGCTCACAGGCATTGAGCTGTGATTGTATCTTTTGCATTTGGTTATATGGCCTGTAAATATTTCCTTTTTTTTTTTTTTTTTAATATTTTTTCTTGATTTTCCACAGAGAGGAAGGAAGAGAGATAGAGAGCTAGAAATGTCGATGAGTGAGAAACATCGACCAGCTGCCTCCTGCACACCCCCTACTGGGAATGTGCCTGCAACCAAGGTACATGCCCTTGACCGGAATCGAACCTGGGATCTTTCAGTCCACAGGCCAACGCTCTATCCACTGAGCCAAACCGGTTTCGGCAAATATTTCCTTGTTAAGATTGGGGCTCAGACAATAAAGGTAGTATCAGATTCATATATAAGAACATATATTAAAATTATCCTAGAGTTCTTGAATAATACCTCTAAATCCCTGAGTTTCTTGGAGCTTTTTTTAAGAGCAGTTTTCCTTCAGTGTAGGAATATTTATAACTACTGAAATTAAAATGACACTTCCCTCTCCCTCCCCTCCCCCCCACCCATAAGACAACTATAATGCAGAAGTAAGTTTTCAATTATTGTGTTAAAATCTTAAGTAAAGCCTACGGGCTTCTAATAAATTTTAATGTATGCTAATTTGGTACCAAATATTTAAATGGACTTGTCCTGAAATGTTTTCATCTATTTAAAAAAAAAATCGCATGCTAGGTTTTACAACTTTTTAAAAAACAACATTTAAAAACTATTATGAAGAGGTCATTTCCAAAAGTAAATACAGTAGTGCTTAAGAGTTTGTACCTCCCACTACAGTGACTGGATGTGAGGTACTTCTCTATGCCACAGTGTTCTCGAGGAATGTGATGTTAGGAGTTATCTCAGAAGATTTATGTGAAGATTACATTTAGAACAGCAATTGGTACAGAACAAGTGTTTTGCTGTTGTTATTACAATAAAGCAGTTTGATATTTTTATCATAACTTGATTTGATCTTTGCAGTCTAAAATCTGTTCTCATAAATGTTTGAACTGGATTATTTTCATCCCATTCTTAAAACACAAAACAATTGTAGGTGTCTGTAACCCTGGAGACCTTTCAAGATCTGTCCTTGCCAATTCCTGGCAAGGAAGACCTTGCTAAGCTGCATTCATCGAGTCATCCAACTTCCATAGTCAAAGCAGGATCATGTGGTGAAGCATACGCTCCACAAGGGTGGATAGCTTTTTTCATGGAATATGTAAAGAGGTTTGTATGCATTTTTTTAATAATCGATTGATTGTTAAAACTGCTGTTTCTGCTGTACTGGCAGAACACTTCCTTTTTTCTTCTATTGATAATGTTTCAGGTTTGTTGTCTCATGTGTTCCTAGCTGGTTTTGGGGTCCAATAGTAACCTTGCAAGATTGTCTTGCTGCCTTCTTCGCTAGAGATGAATTAAAAGGTAAGAAATATGAAACAGTTTTTATCTATGGCTAAATGTTGTGGGTAATCTAAAATATTAGTAGGATGAACATAAAATGTTTTTAAAAGCTAACTTTTAAGGAGCTTAAGAAGTACTTGCCCATATTGCTACAGTGCCATTATCTACTATGGTGATATAAATATAAATACCACAAATATAAATTATTTCAAAAAATTGAAATAATTTATACTACTTCCTATAGTACTAGATAAAATGACATGTGAGATGTCTTAAAACTTCTTAGGGATTCAAAGTAGGGAAAATTCAACCAATATAAAAGTCGTATATATCTGAACTAGTCTGTGAATCCCTCCATAATATTTAAGATTCCTCAGAATTTTTATATGTGCAGCACTTTGTGTGGACAGTCATGTAATGGGCAGTCAGTACATTTGAGTGAATGAATGGAAAGGATGTTCTTTAAGATAGGCTTCCAAGGTTGAAAAGAGAGGGAGGTCAAGGGCGCTTTAGGCAAGGCATACATTGTGAGCTGACTCCTGCGCAGAGACCAGAAAACGTGAGCCTTGTGTTACTGTGCTGCAAGGTCATCATGTGGCAGACTCAGCAGAATTGCAGAACCAAAGAAAATACTTTGCTTTTCATTTGAGAGGAATGACCAGACTTGTTCTGTTTTCAGGTGACAATATGTACAGTTGTGAAAAATGCAAAAAGTAAGTGTTATTGCCAATGTTTTTAATAATATGTTCTGTATATTAAATGGTATTTTGTTGTAGTGGTGGTTAGTTAAATTGAGTTAAAATTCCACTTTATTTAGAAAAATAAAGGCTAGTGAACTTTGTCCTAATAAAAAGAGGCTAGTTGTTTTATAAAACAAATTGGAAGCAAAAATGTAACAAATTTAATGCACTTATCTAAGATGTAAGAGTGTAATTCGAGATTTAAAATAAGTACTATAATTTTGCATAAAACTTTCCACATACATTATAAAAGATACTGGGATGTACAACATAAATTTTCATTACATTAAGTTTGGTCGTCATAAATAAGGGTATTCTTTTCTGGATTACCATATTAATAGACTGAATTCAAGAAGTGAAAGTGGCTATAAATTACACAGTTTCAAGTCTATGTAAAATTCAGAAGGGTTATACCAACCTTGATGTTATCTGCTTTATGAAGGCAGAATAGAAATACAGTTAAACAAAGTATGGGTTTTCTTTCTTTTTTAAAATATATTTTTATTTTCAGAGAGAAAAAGAGGGAGAGAGAGAGAGATAGAAATATCAATTATGAGAGAGAATCATTGACTGGCTGCCTCCTGTACACTCCCAATGGGGATGGAGTCCACAGTCTGGGCATGTTCCTTTGACTGGAATTGAACCCGGGACCCTTCAGTCCATAGGCCAGTGCTCTATCCACTGAGTCAAACCAGCTAGGACAGTAAGCTGGATGGCAATAAAAGTATAAGTAGGCCATAGATAGTAAGACTTTTATTTTTTTTAATTTAATTTTTCTTTTAAAAAATTACAGTTGACATTTAATATTATATTAGTTTCAGGGGTACAGCCTAATAGTTAGATAGTGATTGCCTTGATAAGTTGGTACCTGTGTGATTCCGTACGTTGTTATTACAATATTATTGACCATATTCTCTATGCTACACTTCACATCCCCGTGACTATTTTGTAACTTCTAGTTGTACTTTTTTTTTAATCCTCACCCGAGGATATTTTTCCATTGATTTTTAGAGAGAGGGGAAGGGAGGGTGAAAGAGAGAGAGAGAGAGAAACATTGATGTGAGAAATACATTGATTGGTTGTCTTCTGCATGTGTCCCTACTGGAATGGAGCCTGAAACTGAGATACATGCCCTTGACTGAAATCAAACCTGTGACCCTTCAGTCCTAAGGCCAACACTCAACCACTGAGCAGAACTGGCCCCTTCACCTTTTTCACCCAACCCCTTAACTCCCCTCCCATCTGGCAAGCATCATTTTGTTCCCTGTATCTATGAATTTGTTTATGTTTTGATTGCTTGTTTACAAAAAATTAAATTTCATCAAAGAATCACACAACTCCCTACATTTTTATTACTGTTTAAATAATTTTATACAATAAGGGACTCCAGTGTTTTATTAGTGTATATTTTTTCATGTATGGCATATAATTCATTAGTGAGCATTTTTAGTCTGAGGTCTTTTGTCTCTGCATTTTCTAAAAAGGGTTTATTGAATATTTGAAAATACTAAAGCTTTTCTCCATTCCTTTGGGAAATGGGTTTATTTTAATTGTTTTTTTCTTTTCTCACCTTAGGTTGAGGAATGGAGTAAAGTTTTGTAAAGTACAAAAGTTTCCTGAGGTATGGGCTTTATTATAATTCAATTTATTTTATCTGGTAGGAATTAGTAATAAATTTTTTAGCATGGGTAAGTAATGGACTGTTTCTATTGACCAGTTGCTATTTATGTCATATTAGGATTAGGATTATCCATTTTTAAAATACTGAGTACACAGCAAGTAAGTGCCCTTACCAGTGAAACGATGTTAAGCATAGCTAATCAGACATTGAAGGCTCTTGCAGGTATAAATTAGAAAACCTAGTAGCTGTAAACTTAGTAAGTACTATGTTTTCACTATTTCCACATTTTAACACCTCTGGAATGAGGTTATCTTATTGCAGAATAATGTTTAACCTTGACACTTAATTCAATACGTATATTTAATAGACTCCTTTATCTAGCATATAAAGCAGTAGAATCTTAATGTTGCCTTCCTCTTTTAGATTTTATGCATCCATCTCAAAAGATTCAGACATGAACTGATGTTTTCCACGAAAATCAGTACCCATGTTTCATTTCCACTGGAAGGCCTGGATCTTCAGCCATTTATTGCTAAAGATAGTCCAGCTCAAATTGTTACCTATGATCTTCTGTCAGTCATTTGTCATCATGGAACTGCAAGTAGTAAGTATACAGGTTTGACATATGTTCTTAGATTATATTAAAAATAGTAAACATCTGAGTTGATTTTTTTAAAAATATATTTTATTGATTTTTCACAGAGAGGAAGAGAGAGGGATAGAAAGTTAGAAACATCGATGAGAGAGAATCACTGATCAGTTGCCTCTTGCACACCCCCTAGTGGGGATGTGCCCACAACCAAGGTACATGCCCTTGCCCAGAATCGAACCCGGGACCTTTCAGTCCGCAGGCCAACGCTCTATCCACTGAGCCAAACCGGTCTCGGCCTGAGTTGATTTTTTAAGTAAGACCTGATTAAATCAAAGAAAACATTGTAAAAGTAGATTTTTATTTTATTTTGGTTATTAAAAACATGTTAGCCCTGGTCAGTTGCTCAGTGGTTAGAGTGTTGGCCTATAGACGGAAGGGTTGCCAGTTTGATTCCTGGTCAAGGGAACATACCTCCATTGCAGGCTTACCAGCTCTGGTACAGGTGCATGTGGGAGGCAACCAATCGATGTGATGTTTCTCTCTCCTGTCCCTCCCACCCCTCCCTTCCATTAATTTCTAATTCTCTAGAAATTAATGGAAAAAATATCCTTCGGTTGAGAATTAAAATAAAATAAAACAAAAAGTCAAAAAAGTTAGGAAAGTGAATAATTTTATTCGGAAGTTAGAAATACTGGAAAAGTATATTTTGTATACAATTAAATAATAAGTACTTTAACATGATCATTTTTATCATGCTTTTTTTTAAGATTACATTTTCTATCCTTATGTTTCCTCAAGTGGTGGTGGTGAGGATATATACATACTGGAAAAAATTCTAGTAAAGTCTAGTTCTTGCTATATCTCAGTCTCTGCTAAGAACTTGGAATATGAAAGTAATTTATTTTCCATTCTTGTATTAATTGGTATTACTGAAATGATTAAATTTTTTTCCTCCTAAATTCAGGTGGACACTATATTGCCTACTGCCGAAACAATTTAAATAATCTCTGGTATGAATTTGACGATCAGAGTGTCACTGAAGTTTCAGAATCTACTGTACAAAATGCAGAAGCTTATGTTCTTTTTTATAGGTAAGGAAGTTACAGGGTATTTTAATAAGAAATATCTCACTTTGGGGTTATCAGTGACTTCTAAGACTTTCAAAATGGATTCTGAGTAAAAATTAGAAATTGTTTTATTCTCATTTGATTATCTGAGTAAAATAAAGTGAAAGGTTGCATGCAGAATGATCCTTTAAGAAAATGTTAAATCATTTGGTTGCATGTCAAAGAAAGGTACAGTTGACTCTTGAACAACATGGGTTGAACTTTGTGGGTCTACTTATACATGGGTTGTTTTTAATACTATATTGTTTTTAGTCTGAGGTTAGGAGCTATGGATGTGGAGGGCTGACTATATGCATTGAGCTATGCTACTTTATTTAGGGAATTTGAGCATTCCCAGATTTTGTTATCTTGTGGGGTGGGCAGTGGCGAGGGGGTAGGCTGGAACCAATACTCTGTGGGTACCAAGGGACAAGTAAATTTTTGTGAAGTCAAAAGTTATACACTGATTTCTGAATGCACCGGAGTGGGAAGGGCCGGTGTTGTTCAATGGTCAACTGTATTTTCTTTTAGGAATATTGGTTTTAATAAAAATAATTAGGCACTTGATAGTAGGAATTAAGTACAAAATTTTCTTCTGAAATAGCTAATAAGATATTACTATAACAAATCTTATACTAAAAAATATCAATTTTATGAGAGTAAATATTAGCTACTGAAACAGCAAACAGATTAACTATTTAGATTGATTAATAAACATTTGTTAATAAAAGTTTATGTGGATACTAGTAGTTAAGATACAATATTGCCCCTAGAGTTGTATAATATAATATTGGGGGTTGATACACAGTATATTTCTCTTGAATAATTTCCAAGATCTAATAAGATTCACAATATTAGTGTGTAAAGTTTAGTAATGAAGAGGAAAGATTCACTTACTAGTCTAATGGAATAAAATGCACTTTGAATTTAAAGAATCATTGTTCTTAATAGGAAAAGCAGTGAAGAGGCACAAAAAGAGAGACGAAGGATATCAAATTTGTTGAACATAATGGAACCAAGTCTCCTTCAGTTTTATATTTCTCGACAGTGGTTAAATAAATTTAAGACCTTTACTGAACCTGGCCCTATTTCAAATAATGATTTTCTCTGTATTCATGGAGGTAAGAAATCCTTTAATGGAAAGTAGTGGTAAGAATTTGCTGTTAAAGCCAAAACCGGTTTGGCTCTGTGGTAGAGCGTCGGTCTGCGGACTGAAAGATCCCAGGTTCGATTCCGGTCAAGGGCATGCACATTGGTTGCAGGCACATTCCTAGTAGGGGTTGTGCAAGGGGCAGCTGGTCGATGTTTCTCTCTCATCGACGTTTCTAGCTCTCTATCTCTCTCCCTTCCTCTCTGTAAAAAATCAATAAAATATATTTTTAAAAAAAAGAATTTGCTGTTAAATAATTGACATATTAGGAATGACCCAAGAATTTTCCTCTTCCATTTATTTCTGATTTCCCCATCTGCAGTCCAACTTAAATATGTTTCATTCACTATGGTTTCAGAAATTGGGCTTTTTCTTCTAATTATAGGCAGTCGGTAGCCTCTTCATAGGAGAGATAAGTATTGAGTACCTGTTCCAAACCCTGTGCTAGAGCCTGAGAATAGCAAAGACACTATTTCTGTTCTCAAAGCTCTGATTTCATAGTAAAGACAGATACATCAACAACCAGTTAAGATACACAGTGATCGCTTATATTACACAATAGATGCCCGGTGCATGAAATTCGTGCACGGGTAGGGTCCCTAGGCCTGGCCAGACATCAGAGATGATCGGGACCAGGCCTATTGAAGCCTGCCAGCAGGGGAGTAAGAAGGGAGGTGGGGGGAACTGCAGGAGATTAGCCACCAGCCCTAGGAGGGAGTCAGCCCTTGGCCACTCTGGGAAAGGAGCTGAGTCTGCTGCCACCCACTCCCGGTTCCCCATCCCAGCCCAGGGCCCAGCCCCAATCAGGTTGTTGGGGCCTGCCAGCTGTGGGCAGGGACCACAGAAGGTTGGCTGGCTGTGGGAGATTGGCTGTAGGATTGCACTGACCAACAGGGGGCAGCTTCTGTGTTGAGCACTGGTGGTCGTTCTGGTAGTTCAGGTGTAACAATAACTTAGGCTTTTATATATATAGATAATTTTTCTCCGCCAAGAGGCTCCCAGCTACCAGCTGTATCTGTAGCTCCTATTCCTTTTGTCTAAATGAAAGGTTTTCTCTTCTCTTGAGTATAAAAATATACTTAGAACTTAACAAAAACTCAGATAGTTATTTGCTAAATATAACTTACTAGAGGCCCAGTACATGAAATTTGTTCACGGGTAGGGTTCCTAAGCCTGGCAGGTGATCAGGGCTAATCAGGGCCTTCCAGCTGCCGGCCAGGGCCTCCTTTTATTCTGTGCTGTCCCCTGATGGTTAGCACATGTCATAGTGAGCAATTGAACTCCTGGTCAAACTCCCAAGGGGACACTTTGCATATTAGCCTTTTATATATATAGATACCTATGTCCTTGGCTATGTTAATGTTTGTTCCCACTAAAAGTAACACTTTAGTGTGATACCTTGATTATATTTCATGATTGAAGAATTGATATTCTCATTAATTATTTTTTTCTGTGAAATGAAGAGCTAGTCGGGATATCCTGTATTGGATTTAGAAACCTAAACCTTGAAAATATATCTTTATGTGAATTTTTGTCTCATTTTCAGTCTTGAACTACTAACATAAGGCTTCTTCTGTTCTAAATCTCCCTGTGAATCTTTTATGCCATTTATCTGTGCCTGGGTTTTATTACATTTATTTCTGTAAAGTGCCTCATTTTTTCTGCTGCCACATAAGCTCTATGAAGGAAAGATTGTTTCTTATTTATCTTTGATTTCTCCCCAATACATAATAAAGGCTTAATAAATTATACATAACTTAAATACTTGAAGATCTTGGTTTACTAATTTTTCTCTCTTTCAAGAAATACACTTAGCTTTAGGAACATAATCACCAAAAAATGCTTGTATTTAATTAACTTTTAACTTTTTGGGGAGGAGTTTCAAGAATAATGATTGAAAAATACCACTGATTAAACAGTTAAAAAATGAGTTTAACCTTTGAGAGTAATATAAAGCAATTTAAGAACGAAATAGATCCATATAAATTTTTTTTTAGGTATTCCTCCACGAAAAGCTAATTATATTGAAGACCTAGTTTTGATGCTGCCTCAGAACATTTGGGATAACCTATATAGCAGGTTTGTTTTTTAAAATCAAATTATATGATTTCATGAAAATAAGTTTGTAGAACTCGTTAAAATTGAATTATTTTATATATGCTTTTTGTGTTTTATGTTGCTTACGTAGAATATTCCCTTTTTCCTTCATTTATTCAGTGTGAGTCACTAGATTTTGTAGCCTAAAAATTAATTCTAATTCTTATGTTCTGATTATCTGAATCTATAAAAGTATCCTGTAATCTATAACTCTTAAATTTTAAAGTTTTAAATTTTATTTTAAAGCATTTCACATGTAATTTCCTTATTATGTTTTCCTTAGTGAAATACTGAAAATAATTTATTTCATAAATTCTTAGTTGAGAGGTCAGGGGAAGCCTCTTTCTGATTAAAAACTTGATGAAGACTATGGATATATAAGTAAGATTTATATGTCGTATGCTAGTTTTGGAAAGCCACCTCTTATTTTGTTTTGTTGTGGCTTCAAACATATTTTTGTAGCAGAAGTAATTATAAGGGAAAGTTGAAATACAGGTAAAGCAGGTTATTAGTTAGTAAGCTGATACAGTCATTGACCCTGATAAACATAATGTCAAACCATTATGATTTTTTAAATTTTTACATTAGTTTAAATATGACTGAGAATTTGTCTGTGAGGATTTATTTACTAGATAGCCATTGATTAAAAGTTGGAGACAAATTTGCTAGAGCATCAGCTTTTTACAAGATTGTCATAATTAAAAAATTTTTGTGCTTTAGGTATGGAGGAGGACCAGCTGTCAACCATCTGTACATTTGTCACACTTGCCAAATTGAGGCTGAGAAAATTGAAAAAAGAAGAAAAACTGAATTGGAAATTTTTATTCGGGTAAATAAAGTGGTACTTTTCAAATTAAAAATTCGCTCTAGGGTAAAGATAAAGAACTGTTAATAACCAGAACTGTATTATGTTAATGAAATGATTGGATGAAAGTTGCAATAGATTTTAAGTGCTCTGAGTATTTAACAGTGCAAGTCACAATGTAGTGAGTTTTCTCTTTTTGTGGGTTTTTGTTTTCATGGATTGGTAATGAATTTTGTTTTATGGATTGGTACTGGTAAGAATTCTCCTTGTTGAAATTGTAAATTATAGGTTTCTTTAAGTTAGTGTTTTTCTATATCTATTTTCCCAGTTTGCATTTTCTACTTCCATCCTTTTGTGAAATATAATATTATTTTGCAAGACTCTCTATACTTATAAAATATATCTAGTTTCCACCAAGTGAGTTTAGTATGATGTGTTCCCTGATTGCAAGCAACAGAAAGTCTGGTCACAGCCCTAACCGATTTGGCTCGGTGGATGGAGCATTGGCCTGTAGACTGAAGGGTCCCAGGTTCGATTCCGGTCAAGGGCATGTACCTTGATTGCAGGCACATCCTCAATGGAAGGTGTGCAGGAGGCAGCTGATTGATGTTTCTCTTCCATTGATGTTTCCAGCTCTCTATCTCTCTCTCTTCCTCTCTGTAAAAATCAATAAAATATATTAAAAAAGAAAGAAAGTCACAGGATCAGCAGGGAAAGCTGAACAATCAGGTTTCATGGACAAGGACTAGTACAGTTCCATTTATCTAGGTTGTAAGAAGTAAGTCTCCTCAAAATGCTGCTGTCAATAACACAGCTCCAGCTTTTTATTTATGGTCCAAATTATTCTTATTCCACCCCCCACCTTTTTTAAATAATATGTTGGCGTAAAAATAACACTGGAGCCGAAACCGGTTTGGCTCAGTGGTAGAGCGTCAGTCTGCGGACTGAAAGGTCCCGGGTTTGATTCCAGTCAAGGGCATGTACCTTGGTTGCAGGCACATAAGTGCCTTTTGTGGACTGGAGATTAAGTGGAGTTTCTGAAAAATTATAAAAGCACATAGGATCAAATTGAAGAAGTAAACCAAAGGCCACTTGAAATGACCATACAGGCTTTAGGCTTGGAAGTGGCAATAGAAATAAGGACTTAAGCATTCTTTCCCTGCATCGTATAAGGCAACAAAAATAAAGTCTGCTTGGATAGAGCACTAAATGTGGACATTTGGGTCAGAGCATTCTCTTCGATAGCTTGTAATACCTAGGAAGAATTATGATTTTCTAAATTATGCATAAAATAAATTTTTCTTTATTCTCATTTGAGGATATTTTTCCATTATTTTTTATTTTTATTATTATTTTTTTTTAACGAGAGAGGGAGAGAATGGGAAGGAGGAGGGGAGACAGAGAGAGATGCCAAAGCCAGTTTGGCTCAGTGGTGGAGCATCGGTCTGCGGACTGAAAGGTCCCGGGTTGATTCCGGTCAAGGGCATGTACATTGGTTGCGGGCACATCCCCGGTAGGGGGTGTGCAAGAGGCAGCTGGTCGATGTTTCTCTTTCATCGACGTTTCTAGCTGTCTATCTCTCTCCCTTTCTCTCTGTAAAAAAAAAATCAGTAAAATATATTTAAAAGAGAGAGAGGGGGGAGGGAACATTAATGTGAGAGAGACACATTGATCGGTTGCCTCTGCACCAGGGCTGGGGATCAAGCCTGCAACTGAAGTACATGCCCTTGGCTGGAATTGAACCTGGAACCCTTCCGTCCACAGGTCAACCTTCTATCCACTGGCCAGGGCTAAAATAAATATTGATCCTTAGGGAGATACATAAGGATGCTGTATCCTGAAAACAAAACTCTATAGATGGATTGATTGAATGGTAGAATAAATATTGCTGGAGAGCACATTAGTGTCCTGAAAGGTCTAGCAAAGGGTTTCTCCTAAGATGGAGTACAAGAATAAACATGAAAAACAAAAGTTTCAACATGTTGGATTGATATAGAACCCAATGATTTTTTAAATAGGAATTTTATAAGAGAATATTGAGCAGGAACTACTTTTACTTTATTTTTTAAAATCTATTTTATTGACTTTTTACAGAGAGGAAGGGAAAGGGTTAGAGAGTTACAAACATCAGTGAGAGAGAAACATCGATCAACTGCCTCTTGCACACCCCCTATTGCGGATGTGCCCGCAGCCAAGGTACATGCCCTTTACTGGAATCGAACCTGGGACCCTTTAATCCGCAGGCCGATGCTCTATCCACTGAGCCAAACCGGTTAGGGCAGGAACTACTTTTAGAGCAACATTTTAGAGAAATTTCTCAGGAATGGAGGTAAAGAAATGCTTTTAAATTAATAGAGTGGCTCAGTGGATAGAGTGTCAGCCTGTGGACTGAAGGGTCCCGGGTTCGATTCTGTCAAGGTCATGTACCTTGGTTGCAGGCTGCAACCAATCCATGTGCTTCTCTCACATCGATATTTTCTCTTTTCTGTCTCTCTCCCTCCCACTCTCTAAAAATCCATGGAAAAATATCCTTCGGTGAGAATTAAAAATAAATAAAGCCAGTATCTTCTGGTGAGAATTAAAAATAAATAAATAAATAGAGCTAGTCTTTGGAAAAAAATCATTTAAAATTAATTTGTTAATTGACTAATGGAGTGATTATACTTATATAAAATTCAAAAAGTCCCCACCTAGACACCTACAGGAAGAATCATCCTAATGCCAGATGCAAAGAAAGTCCTGAAAGTGTCCAAACCTGATAATGGTATGAATTAAATAGATTCATCTGGCAGAATTAGTCTGACATTACATTTCAGAAATCTCAGTTCTGTAGGAATAATTTGTATATCACAGAAAATTCTAACTTTAATGCTATAACTTTTTTTTTCTTTTTTTTAATATATTTTATTGACCTTTTACAGAGAGGAAGGGAGAGAAACAGAGAGCCAGAAACATCGATGAGAGAGAGACATTGACCAGTTGCCTCCTGCACACACTCCACCAGGGATGTGCCCGCAACCAATGTACATGCCCCTGACCGGAATCGAACCTGGGACCTTCAGTCCACAGGCCGACGCTCTATCCACTGAGCCAGATCGGCCCTGGCGTAATGCTATACTTTGAGACAAACATGCTTTGATTTCTTTGTTAATTATCAGGGACAGCCACATTTTTCATTGCTTTTCATTGTTCTATTGAAGCAGCCATTTCATGTTTATGAAAGATCCTTGACCTTAAAGAACTTTAAAATAAAGTTGTACATTATATATTAAAAGGTGATGAGTTCTATGGAAATAGAAAATACCTAAAAGGATAAGAGCAATCAGGAGTACAAGGATGAGGGGTAGAGTGAGGTGCGATTATAAATAGGATGATAAAGATAGGCCACATTGAAAAGGTGACATTTAAGCAAAGACTTGAAGGAGGTGAGGGAGATATTTAGATATTTGCAAAAGGAAGGGATAGTCATGTAAAAGCTCTGAGTGGCAGGAATATTGTCTGCTTGATTCTGGGAATAACAAAGGTCCATGTGACCACAGTGAAGAAATGAGGAAGAGAGTATTAGAAGCTGAAGTCAAATCATGGTGATACTTCTGGGCGATTATAATGCTCTTTGGGGACAGTGTAGGGTTTTGACCTGATTTGATTATAGGAGAGACATGATCTGAAGTTGATGCCTACATCCACAGTATGTACTGTAGGCATTTAAACATCATGAAATATTTTTAGGCATCTCACTATCTTTTCACACTGTTACAATTAGATAAATTCCAAATATCCTTCATTTTCCTCAGGCACTGTTGCCTCCACCTCTCTTTCTGTACCAGTTTTTCTGTCAACTGGGTTTCTTTAGTTGAAAGCAGAAATCAAAATGGCTAAATTAAGCACAAAAAAAAATTATTGAAAAGAAAAAATTGAGTAGCTACACCTCCAGAAATCCAGGAACCCAGGTATTCCTAGTATACAGCTAACAAAATTGGCACTGGAATTACTCCTTCTAACCATTAGGTCACTTCTCTGAAGATTTCCATTTCTAATAGAGTTTTTCCTTGATTGAGTCATGTACCCATTCCTTAGGACTTAGGACTAAAGGAAGGAGTGGAACATCTTTGGGGTCTGTACCACCACTTTTGAGAATTTATCCTAAAAAAAAAAGAGAGAGAGTGAGAATTTATCCTATACATATATGTATATTGCCTGTGAAATGACATAGATAAGATCATTCATTGCAGCACTGTGTTTGTAATAGCAACATGTCACCAGTATCTTAAGTGAACACAAGTAATACATAGACAGTGGCTATTATGTTTAAATAAAATTTATTATCAGATTTTTTTTCTTTTTTGTTAATCCTCACCTGAGAATATTTTTCCATTGATTTTTTTGAAAATGTAAGGGGGGAGAGACAGAGAAACATCAATGTGACAGAGACATCCATTGGTTGCCTCCCACATTGCACCCCAACAGGGTCATCTGGGGATCGTGCCCTTGTCAGAAATAGAACCGAGATTCTTTAGTTTATGGGCTGACACTCAATCCACTGAGCAAAACCAGCTAGGGCCATCATATTTATTTATTAAATATATTTTATTGATTTTTTACAGAGAGGAAGAGAGAAGGATAGAGAGTCAGAAACATCGATGAGAGAGAATCATCGATCAGCTGCCTCCTGCACAGCCCTCACTGGGGATGTGCCCGCAACCAAGGTACATGCCCCTGACCAGAACCGAACCCGAGACCTTTCAGTCCTCAGGCCGACGCTCTGTACATTGAGCCAAACCGGTCCTGGCAGGCCATCATATTTTTAATAAATATGTAGAGTGGTTATTGTTTTTAAGACTTTGCCTTGACTGTCTTCACCTATGCAATCTTTTCTGTCCCTTCAGTTTGTACTTGCTAAAATTTAAGCACAATTTGCCCCTAATAATATATTTTGTTTTTTAATTAATTTCTGAGCAGAAGGGAGAGGGAGAGAGAAAAACATCAATGATGGCTGCCTCCTGCATGCCCCCTACTGGGGTTTCAGCCCACAACCTGGGCATGTGCCCTGAATGGGAATCAAACTGGGGATCTCCTGGTTCATAGGTTGATGCTCAACCTCTGAGCCACACCGGCCAGGCTAGAATTGTTTTTTGATATATGTTATCATGTATGCTAATACTAAAATAACTTAGCATCAGTGTACACATTCTTTGTGTATGAGAAACTGGCTTTATCAGAGTCTGAAGTAGGATGATTGTATTGTTCTGCTATAAACAAGTTCTAAATATTAGGTGACTGATTTTTTTCCTCCCTACATATAGCTCAACAGAGCATTCCAAGAGGAGGACTCTCCAGCTACTTTTTATTGTATCAGTATGCAGTGGTTTAGAGAATGGGAAAGTTTTGTGAAGGGTAAAGATGGAGGTAAGTGGTTACCAGAAAAATAAAATTCTTTGCAGATTTTCTGTTTATTTAATAAACTAGATGCCCGGTGCACGAAATTCATGCGTGGTGGGGTGTCCCTCAGCCCAGCCTGCACCCTCTCTAGTCTGGGACCCCTCAAGGGATGTCCTACTGCCCATTTAGGCCCGATCCTACTGGGATCGGGCCTAAATGGGCAGTCAGACATTCCTCTCACAATCTAGGACTGCTAGTTCCTAACTGCTCACCTGCCTACCTTCCTGATTGCCCCTAAGTGCTTCTGCTTGCCAGCCTGATCACCCCTAACCACTCCCCTGCCAGCCAGTTTGCCCCTAACTGCCTTCCTCTGACAAGCCTGGTCATCCCTAACTGCCCTCCTCTAAAGGCCTGGTCCCCCCAACTGCTTTCCCCTGCAGGCCTGGGTCCCCCCCAACTGCCCTTCCCTTTGGGCCCGGTTGCCCCCAACTTCCCTCCTCTGCTGGACTGGTCATCCCTAGCTGCCCTCTCCTGCAGGTTTGATTGTCCCCAACTGTCCTCCCTTATAGGCTTGGTTCCTCCTAACTGCCTTGCTCTGCTGGCCTGATCACCCACAACTGCCCTCCCTTGCATACCTGGTCTCTCCCCTGCTGGCCATCTTGTGGAGACCATCTTGTGTCCACGTGGGGGCAGGATCTTTGATCACATAGAGGCAGCCATCTTGTGTGTTGGAGTGATAGTCAATTTGCATGTTACTCTTATTAGGTAGTATAGAGGCCTGGTGTATGGGTGGGGTCCAGCTGGATTGCCCCGAAAGGTGGAGGTTCCCTTGGTATGTGGGGTGGCCTGGGCAAGGGACCTATGGTGGTTTGTAGGCCGGTCACGTTCCCCGGCGACCCAAGTGGAGGCCCTGGTATCTGGGCTTTATTTATCTTCTGTAACTTTGTAGCCTTGAGTGTAGGCTAGGGCAGGCCAGGGCGGGCAGAAAACTTGGCTTCCTCCATCGCTGGGGAAACACAAGCCTCCTACTTGCTCCTGGCACAGCCAGCTTGGTTGGGTTAATTTGCATACTTGCTCTTGATTGGCTGGTGAGTGTGGTTTGTGTATATAGTGGATGTGTGGTCAATTTGCATATTACTCATTTATTAGATAGGCTATTTTTTGGTTATCTATATACACTTGGGATTACATCACTGAACAAGATTCCAGCCCTCTGGGATCTTACATTCTAGTTTATATTCTGGTCCTGAGGATTTTTAATTTTTTAAAATTTGTTTAATCAATTATAACATATTCATAGCAAAAATAAAGGAACTAAATAAAATTAGTTTGATTTTAATTTTGAAGTAAAAAAAAAATCCACCAAATAATAAGATTGGTTAAATTATGGTTTGTACATTATAATGGGATGTTATATGGACTTTACAAATAATTTTTGTGACAGTATTTAGTAATTTAAAAACAGGTTGTTACTTATACATAAAAAATTGCAATATGATATGCATAGTTTGAATCTTTTATATTAAAAAATAGGCAGACATATGCAAAGGTAAAAAACCACATAGATACTAAAACAGTTTGCCTATTTTCTTATAGCAGGATTACAGTATATTGTCTTCCTTGTACCTTCTTCCCCAGTTTTTGATAATGACCATGCACTGTACTTTTGTATTCAAGAGGAAAAGAAATAAGATGTTTTTTTTTTCTTCTTTTTTTTAAAAAAAATTATTCTTTATTGATTTTAGAGAGGAAGAGAGAAGGAGACAGAGATAGAAACATCAATTATGAAAGAGAATCATTGATTGGCTGCCTCTGGCATGACCATCCCACTGGGGATCGAGCCAGCAACCCAGGCATGTGCCCTTGGCTGGATTCAAACCTGGGACCTTTCAGTCTAGAGGCTGACGCTCTAGCCACAAAACCAAGCTGGCTAGAGCAAAAGGTGTTTTCTTAAATTAAAAAAGGATACATTTTGGCTGGGTGAAAAAAAAGATAAAGGAATTAAGCAAAAAAAAAAAAAAAGAAAAAAAAGTATATATTTACATAACACACAGATGCAGACAACAGTATAGTGATAGCCTGAGGGAAGCGGGGTTGGAGGAGGTGGAAAAGGGCAAAAGGGATAAATGGGAACAGAAAGAAACTTCACTTTTTGGTGATTGGTACACAATGCAGTGTGCAGATGATTTATTGAGTTGTATACGTGAAACCTGTCGGGGGTTTTTTACCCATTGTCACCTCAATAAATTCAATTAAAAAAGATGCATTCCAGCATTTTAATTTATAATCCTCTTATTGGTTAAAGTAATGATAACCTGAAACAAATTAAGAATATATCATTTCTTTTTTAATTACAGGGAATTGTTATTTTTTAAAAATATATATTTTATTGATTTTTTTACAGAGAGTAAGGGAGAGGGACAGAGAGCTAGAAACATCGACCAGGTGCCTCCTGCACACCCCCTACCTGGGATGTGCCCGCAATCAATGTATATGCCATTGACTGGAATAGAACCTGGGACCTTTCAGTCCGCAGGCTCTACCACTGAGCCAACAATTCCTGCGGTTTCGGCAGGAATTGTTCTTTTATAGCATTGAAAGTGCAATGGATCCATATAAGCAATGAATGTTATATTTTAAAAACAACAAAAAAGCTGCAATTGATACCTAAGAAATCATTTCTATTAGATTTTGGATGGTAGTGAGAGAGCCTGTCTCTCTTTCCTGATTCTGTTTTTGTGGAGCTAAGACAGTTAAGAATTATCTATAATAATTTGACTTTAACAAAAACCAGTCTGATTATACAGTTATGTCCTTCAGTTATTTCAGACACAGAAATATGTAATTCTTTGGTGCACTTATGTGAAAAGTTTGCATCTTGATCATTTGTTTTTCTCTTTAACTTAGATCCTCCAGGACCTATTGATAACACTAAAATCGCAGTCACTAAATGTGGCAGTGTGATGCTCAGGCAAGGTAAGTTTGAGGAACATTTAAGCCTTTGTTGGTAACTTGTCACTGTTAAGAACATAAGAGTCACTAGCTTTCTATGCCACTTTTTAATCCATCTTAATGATATAACTCATTCAAAAAGTAGGACAAATACTGGAAAAGCTCCCAGTTTTTAATTTTTCTGAGGAAAGGTTTTATGGCTGTTGATAGGAGCTAAAAAAGAAAAAAAAGAATAAAAAGAATCTCCAACTTTTTAAGACAGACCATAAAGTTGCAGCTTAGAACAATATGGGTTAGTAGTCTGAAGAGTCATGTTCCAAAAGTTCTTGATTATTCATGCTTTTGGGGAAGGGCTGTGTGTGTGTGTGTGTGTGTGTGTGTGTGTGTGTGTATGTGTGTGTTACAGTTTGAAAATTTTTGCAATATGAATTTGTAGCTTTGTAAATATTCTTTCACTGTACACTTAATTTTAGGAGCAGATTCTGGTCAAATTTCTGAAGAAACGTGGAATTTTCTACAGTCTATATATGGTGGAGGCCCTGAAGTTATCCTACGACCTCCAGTTGTTCATGTTGATCCGGATATGATACAAGCAGAAGAAAAAATTGAAGTAGAAACTCGGTCTTTGTAATTTTGAGGATATAGAGTGTTCTAATGAGAAATCATTTTCACTTCCTCTGTCATATATACATGCAGAAACATTCCTAAAAGCATGTTTATTTTCTTGATTTTTAATATTTTTATCTCATTCATTTTTACTGGGCATTATGGAAAAAGCTGTTAAAATGTTTAATACACTACAGGTTGGTATGTTAAGTGCTTTAACTTACCATAGTCTTTCAGTGTAATATTTTTGAAAAAAGAGGAATAATTATGATCATTTGGTAATCAGTAGATTATCTTTGATCTTTATACTATGTGCAAATCCACAGTATCCTTTATAATTTTGTAAATAATTTTGCTTTGAAAACTTTTTCATTACCCTAAACCATTATAACTCTGACCAATCTTTTCAGTTTTCCAAAAACTTAATTGTGTAATTTTGACATGGCTTCATATAATATAGAACCTATTTTAAATTGAGAGTCGTAGTCAGAAAAAGGTTAATTTCCTAAAGCTCAGGAAACGTTAGGGTGTCACTTTTTTTGCACTGCAGCACATAAACTAGCATATTAATATTAAAAATGTCTTTTTTGAATGTATCAAGGATGTATTTAGTTTGAGTGAAATTTGTGTCAGGAGATATCAGTAACTTATTGCCTCTTATACTGTAAAATATTAAACTTCAATTGCTTTCTATAATCCTGGATAGAATTTATTATTATCAGTAAAAAGCTTAGTTTTTAGGGCACTTTATTTTGAGAGCATGAGTATGGAATGTGTCAATGAGATTGTTTATAAGGCTGAAGCCATTTGCAAAATGATTTTTTTAAATGAAATGCATAAAGTCATTGATTAATACAGTGTGCACTGCTATTTGCTTGATTATGTGATGTTAAAAGTTTAACTATATTCCAACTGTAGAAACAAACTGGACTACTTTAAATATATTGACTAGCATTCATGATGGCTTTGTTTTGGTTGGGGGCATCTGCCACCAATTAAAACTGTGCTGTTTAAATTAGTTCAATAAAAATGATTTTAAAATTGATAACTTATATGTTGAGATTATTTGATAGGCATTAATAGTGAAGGCTCTAAAGTGTTAATATTAATGTCTTTCTATTATTTCTTAATCATCAGTATGCAAAAAAGTCATTCATTGTAAAGTTCTGATGTTTAATGAAATGATGAGCTTATTTATCAGTCATTAAGTCTATTTGAATTTTTTAAAATGTATATTGTCTTTAGTTTTCTTCTTTATAATTATACTATGATCCTCTTCAAGGACTGCATGATGTTATTGATCTGTCTCTGAATCATTATTTTAGTGAAACTTTTGCCACTTAGGAGATAATCAAAAAAGTATTTTTAATAGTGCTTGCCTTTCATGAATATTTATGATGTTTTAGCCATTCTACTAAAGTGCTAAATTACATTTAGTCCTCTTTACACCCTATAATTTAGGTAAAATGGCTTGCCCTAAGTCATACAGCAATGAAAGGCAGATGTGAGACTCTAGCTCAAGTCAGTGTAAGTTCATCAGTGCTCTTATATACCATAATATAATATCTTCCAATGAATTCTTTTGAAAACAGGTTATAGTATTAGTCATATTCATTAATAGAATTTGTCATTGGGATATATAATATGATTAAGAATACTGGTCTTTAAGAGCTTATATAATTTTACTAGAGGCCCAGTGCACAAAATTTGGGCACTGGTAGGGTCCCTAGTGGCTGCTGGCTGGGCATTCCCTCCCCCTGGCTGCCTGCTCCATGCTGCTGCCGCTGACTGCCACCCACGGAGCTCAATCACCCCGCCGCCACCTGGCTCCCAGGTGCTAAGGGAGCCTGGTAGTAGCTCCACCCCCTTCTGCCGCTGCTGGTCACCATCTGCGGGGGCCCAATCACCTGGCTGATAGCACCCCACCACCACTACCACCCAGCACCCAGGTGCTGAGGGAGCAGGGCGGCGTCTCTGCCCCCCACCGCTGCTGCTGGTCGTCCTGATTAGATCAGCAGGGCATCGGGCCCCCACCTGGCTCCCTAAGCGCTTCGGAGCCCTGCGGTAGCGGGGCAATTGAATTGGCAGGGTGATCAGCCCCTGCCTGGTGACCAGTGGCTTGCAACTGCCTTGGCCTGGTGCCGCCCACTCACTTGCTCCACCATTCCGCCCTGGTCCTGCTCTCATCGAGGCCTGCAGCGCCTCCACTGCAGCCTGCTGCCAACACTGCATTGCCAATGCCCACCATGATCCACGCTGTTCCCTGGTGGTCAGTGCACATCATAGCAAGTGGTCAAACTCCTGGCAGAACTCCTGATAGAGGGACAGTTTGCATATTAGGCTTTTATTATATAGGATTTTACATTTTAATCCTCAAAATACATTAACTATATAGAAAGCAAAGTAGTAGCAGTACCAGACTCTCAGCTAAAGTTTGGTGTATATGTTGACAGGTTCGGGATAAAAGATTTATCTGAGGATGATTTTCTTGGAAATATTTAAGCTGAGAAATAGGAACATTGCCCTCAAGGGATAATAAGAGCTTACAAGTTTTGAGTACATCGATTTATAACATGAAAGGGATTAGTTTTTGGAAACAAGTCAGTTTGCTTATATAGTTGATCCTTGAGCAACATCGTTTTGAACTATGTGGGTCCACTTATACATGGATGTTTTTTAGTAGATACTGTAAATGTATTTTCCTTTTGATTTTTAAGTAACATTTTCTTTTCTCTATTTTATTGTAAGAATACAGTATATATTACTATATACAAAATACGTCAATTCCTTGGTGTTAGGTCTGATCAAATAATTGAAGCAACACCCTTCCCCTGGGAACTGACCTTTAGACCACTTTCCAATCAACATTCCCTTTTGCTTAGATCATATTCCACTTGCTAAGACCATTATCTTTCCCCTTCAGAGCCACCTAGAAAAAGCCTGCCTAAAATCTGACTCCCTGTCCCTAGGTGCTGGCGCCATTTTGGGGGTCAGCCCACCTGGTATCCAGATGACCTAATCTATATATATAAAAGGTTAAATGTCCCAACCGTCTGTACAACCATCTGACTGGCCAGTACATATGATGCGCACTGGCAATCCTATATAATAAAACCTAATATGAAAATCGACCGAACAGCCGAAACAGTTTTGGCTCAGTGGATAGAGCGTCAGCCTGTGGACTGCAAGGTCCAGGGTTCGATTCTGGTCAAGGGCATGTACATTGGTTGCGGGCACATCCCTGGTGGGGAGTGTGCAGGAGTGGTCGATGATTCTCATCGATGTTTCTGGCTCTCTATCCCTCTCTCTTTCTCTCTGTAAAAAATCAATAAAATACATTAAAAAAAAAAAAGGGAAGACAGGAATCATATATGTAATAGCTTGCTGCCACAACAAAATATTGTAGACTGGGTGGTTTAAGCAACAGAAATTAAAAAAAGAAAAAAAAAAGAAAAGAAAATTGACTGAATAGTGGAACCACCAGCAGAATGTCTGGTCGCTATGACGCACACTGACCACCGGGGGATAGATGCTCAATGCAGGAGCTTACCCCAGTTTGCAGGCCCCCAGCCAGCCAATGTGGGCCAACAGTCCCCCCGCTCGCCAATTTCCCCATAGAGGGAGGTGATTGATGGCTTGGGGGGGAGGGGAGAGGCTGGCAAGCAGGGGGCACCAAGCCAGCCAACATGGGTGCCAGTGGAGGCCCTCCAATCGCCCCACTGGCTGCCCTATAGATGAGCCCTGATCGCTGGCCAGGCCTAGGAACCCTACCTGTGCATGTATATTGTGCACCTAAGTGACCCTTGTATGTCCACCCAATGGTCTGTCTGACCGGCCAGGACCAGTACATACGATGTGCACTGGCAATTTAAAAATAAACGACTCACGAATGCATGATATATATAAGTTCTCAGTGCCAATCGTGTGCGTGTGTTTTTTAAATTTTATTGATTTTTTACAGAGAGGAAGAGAGGGACAGAGAGTTAGAACATCGATGAGAATCATCAATCAGCTGCCTCTTGCACACCCCCTACTCGGAATGTGCCTGCAACAAGGTACATGCCCTTGACTGGAATTGAACCCGGGACCTTTCAGTCTGCAGGCCGACGCTCTATCCACTGAGCCAAATCAGTTTTGGCCGTGTGCGTGTGTTTTGATCTGTCATTGTCATTCATGAATTTGGTTGATACTTCTATTATAGAGAAAGGGCGGGTAGTGATATTAAAATATTTCTCCTAATTAATTTCCTTTTAATGTGCACGAATCCGTGCACCGAGCCACTAGTAAATTCATAATTCTTTACCTTTTTTGGCCTCATGCATTCTTCCTTTGGCGACCCTAACACTTGGGATATTATACTGCCATGTTAGCTCTTCCTAACTTTGCTTTTAACCTGACTGCAGCAGATAACCTTACCCCTCTCTTGCTAAGATTGAGGAGGTATAAGCTTCTTTGTCTTTTTTTTGTTGCCACCTCTTAATATTTAGTAACTTTTTTCTTTCTAGATTAGAGAAAGAAGCCATTCTCTTTGCCTCTAATTTTCTTTCTTCCCTCATTAATTAATTTATTAATTCAGTGAACTTTTCATGCTCTCTCACTTCCCTCTGTACTTTTTTTTTCTTTACAAGCAAAAGTTTATTTAGAAATTACAGAGGCAGATGGACTTTGGGCTCAGGAGACAAGTAACAGAGGCAAAAGAAGGGTCCTTAGAGCTTAGGAAAAAGGCAGTCATAGGTGTGGTCTAGAGAGAAAGAGCTCTCCCTGGGAAAGTGGGTGGGGAAAGGTGCAGGTGTGCTGTGTGCTCCAGAGAGAGAAAGAGTGTGCCCCTCTGTACATTTTTTTAAAAATAAATTTTTATTGTTCATATTATTACAAATGTCCCTTTTTTTTCCCCCTCACCATTGCTCTCCTCCACCAGGTTCCCACTCCACCCTCTGCCCTTTCCCCACCCCCCATTGTCCTCATCCATAGGTGCACAGTTTATGTTCAGTCTCTTCCCACATCCCCCTCTCCCCTTTTCCCCAA